CGCCCGCCTCGGCCTCCCAGAGAGCTAGGATTACAGGCGTGAGCCACCGCGCCCGGCCTGTATAGATCTTTTATTAATACCAACACTTTTGGCGGGGCGCCAGTGGCTCACGCCTATAATCCTAGCACTCCGGGAGGCCGAGTTGGGAGGATCACTCAAGGTCAGGAGTTCGAGACCAGCCTGAGAAAGAGCGAGACCCCGTCTCTACTAAAAATAGAAAGAAATTAATTGGACACCTAGAAATATATAGAAAAAATTAACCAGGCATGGTGGCACATGCCTGTAGTCCCAGCTACTGGGGAGACTGAGGCAGAAGGATTGCTCGAGCCCAGGAGTTTGAGGTTGCTGTGAGCTAGACTGACGCCACGGCACTCTAGCCTGGGCAGCAGAGCAAGACTCTGTTTCAAAAAACAAACGAAAAGATACCAACACCTTTGTCTTTGGCACGCTATTCTTCTGCAGATGTGCAGACTGGTTCTCCTAGTCAAATGATGCTTTGTAGCTCTGGAAGTCTGGTCTGTGGTGCTCTGCAGTTTTGGGTTTGAACTGTGACATTCATGCTTTGGGGGCTCCATGGTGGAGCATCCTACCTAAACCCAGTGCGCTGTGGAGTCAGATAACTCGCGCTAGCTGTTGGAATGTAGCCTTGTCTCTCATTCCACAGTCACCACCCTTCATGCTGCCTGCCTCTTTTCTGCCCCAGGGAACGATCAGCGTTGGAGTAGATGCCACTGACCTCTTTGATCGCTATGATGAGGAGTACGAAGATGTATCCGGAAGTGGCTTTCCACAGATTGAAATTAATAAAATGCACATATCCCAGTCCATTGAGGTAAAGCACACAGACACCTCGCCGAGTACAGCAAGTGCTTGAGTTAATGAGGCGCAGCACAGCAAGCAGCTGGAATGAGAGTCTGCTTAGGGTTTTTCTCATCTTTATTTATGAAAGGATGCAATTAGCAGCTTTAAAAAAAAAAAAAAAGAGCTCCAGTTACAGCCTTGTGCATTACTGCTTCAGCGTGAGCGTGGGGCTGAGGGTGCTTAGCTTCCAAGGTCTCAGGTCTTTCCAGTTAGTTCATGGTCTGAGAGAAATCAAAGCACAGGTCACGGTGATTTTAGGAAAGAAAGCAGACCTCCATGGATAATGCTAACAACTGGTTTTAATTTCAGGGTACCCTTTATTAGGTGCAGCTCTGCACCCTGAGACTTGGGGTGAAGAAAATGTCATCTTTCTGCCCACTCTGTCGATGTGGCAAAGTCAGGCCATTCTCCGTGAGGGTTCTAGTAGGTCTCTGCCTCCTCAGCTCATTCATTTATTCTCAAATGCCTCAGCCAAAATCATGGAGTACTAACTCAGGGAAACTTGCCCCTTGGAGCTACCAGAGTCAGTTAATACAGCCATGGGAAGGTCTTCAGTGCCTTCCAGAACCCTGGTGGCAAGCGTGGACTGGAGAGGCCCAGACATCCCACAGTGGGAAGGGACTTAGGGAAGGTGCTATGTGAGCCAATTTCATTGGTACACTGAGAACCCAGCATTTAGCCCTGTGTTTCCTCCGGTGTTGTGAAATTTGATCATTAAAGCTTTTGAAAACATACTATCTTCATGGCTACATGCAGTCCAAATAACAGAGTGAGAGAAGAGTAAAGCAGTTGAGGTAATTACACATCCCTGTGTACTTCTGAACCGCAGTCATCTGCACCTCTGGCCTCATACTTACGATTTTTAGGCTGCTTTCACCGGCACTTCCTGTTGCTTTGATTCATTTATTACCAGCAAGTATCATTTCCTAGGCACCCTTGACAGCTACAGACACAGCCATCCTCTCTGGAAGCCTCTCGACCCAGAACGGGAATGGAGGGGGCTCCATTAACTTTGCGCTCAGACGAGTCACTTCCGCAAAGGGATGGGGAGAGGTAAGAATGGCGATTGGCTGGCTTGTGTTGTCTGTGCAGAGCCCTATTTCTGAACATTTACTCTCTAAAAACTGACCCTCAAACTGACCCAGAGTTGGCCCCATTCTTGTGTAACAGGGTACCAAGTGTCAAACTTCCATAAGTTGACAGGCCACAAAAGAAAAATATGTCTCATTTCTAAGGAATCCTGTCAGTCTTCTAACAACTTAAAATAAGGATAAAAAACAAGATTTCCTTTGAGATGCCAACTTCCAGACATCCAACCTCTGGAAACTTAGCATCTTTGTTCCCTTTTTTGAGCAAAAGCCTGTGAGCTAATGCTCTTCCTGCACAATGTGGAAGGCAGGTGCCTTGCTTCAGTGCTCTGGTCCACTGATTGGGGGTCATTTAGCAGCCACTTCGGCTGAGCAAGTTGAGCTGCATCAAATTAACATTGAAGAGTTGCCTTGAAAGTCACCCAGACTGGTAAATGAAGCAGCTAGAATCGGCTGCAACTTCCCAGGCCATGCGAGTGTGGAAATGCTGGTGGGCTTTAACATCAGACCCCTGAGAACCGTCTCCAGTCACCGGTGATACCTCAGGAGCAGAATGGAAATGCGAAGGCTTTGCCTGTGTCGTGAGGACTGGGGGGCACCTGACCGCAGCAGAGCTCTGCAGATGGGGCTCTGCTGCAGGGAGGGCTGGGGAGCCTGAGTCAGGAAGTTGAGGATCAGAGGCTGACAGTTTTTTCTTTGGAGGGGCCCCTTTCTGAAACATGTGCCATCGAAACCTGGGCTTCCTTGAGTCTGTGGCAACAGACACCTCCATTTGGCAAAGGTTAAGATGAGATATTAAGAATCTTCCACTCCCTTCTTTTAAAGCCCTGGCAAAGAGTATTGAATTAAATGAAGAAATCATAACTAGAGGTGCATACCTGAGCCTGGGGTGCTGCTACGAGATAAAAACACCACTAATACTTTCTTTTTCCTTTTCAAACAGTTGGAATTTGGAGCTGGAGACCTACAGGGGCCTTTATTTGGCCTCAAGCTGTTCCGCAATCTCACACCAAGATGGTAAATATAAGACAGATCCTCTGTGGTGGTCTTTGTTGGTTTAGGAGACTAGAACTATGTGTTCTTTTTATCGCCGTCACCAGTGCTGTCTTGTCTGTCCTGCAAGGTTACTGAGCATGTCGGGCGGTTGCAGTGCTGGCAGGAAGCCCAGGCAGCATGCGGGTGCGGAGAGCACTGGATTGCAGGCGGCCTGATCCTTGTCCCCACCCCAGCTGGGCTTCGCCCTCCAGGGTGTGTGCTTTCCCCACCTATGCCACGAGGCGGTGTCTGCAAAGTGCCTTCATGGGGAAGTTAGTTAGCGGGTTGAAATACTTAAGGACTTGTGGATCATTTCTTTGTCCCAGAGGATGTCAGACTGCCTAGTTATCAGGTCGATTGACATGTGCCAGACATGCCCAGCCTCTGCTTCCTGTCACCTCTGCTGCTGCTGTGATGTCACACTCCTAGAACTAACTATGCCTTCCTGTCCCTTCTAGAATCACAGCAGTGTCTTATTTCCCATATGGTGTAGGGAGGGTTGTCTGCGTGAGCTCAGATGATAGAATTGGGTGGAAAGTAAAGAAAATCTCTTTCCTCTGGGAGGAAGATATAGCTGAAGGACTCCTGGAGTGGGGTACATGTATGATAAGAAAGTTATCACACTTCCGATGGGACGTGTATCTGCACGCTTGCCAGGCTCTGCAGGGTACGACCCAGTCCCTGCGCCAGTCTGGTCATTCAGTGCACCGGGCACGGGGTAGGGAGTACAGGCAGGTTCACAGGTCAGTCTGACCCAGGGCAAGTGAGGGATGAGTGCACGGGACCAAGAGGACGCGGCCTGTGGGGTGGGCGGAGGCCTCAGCCGAGGCAGCGCCTCCAGGCAGAGCGCGAAGATGGAAAGGGGCTCGAGTCGTCCACCATCGGGGATGGCCTGGGTACCATTCTCAAATGTCCGAGAAGGGGACAGGGATTCGTAGACTGTCAGGTGATACAGTGTATCGTGTGTGTACACATGTCAGCATTGTCCTGACCTTGTCTGCTTAGAATTGTCACCTCAGATGCTGGTTAGAAGCTGAATCAAGTCCTCTGAGGGAGGAGTCTGGGAATCTGGTTTTTTCAAGCAGCCCAGGTGATTCTTAAGGTCAGACAAGTTCCAGAGACACTTAGTTGAGGAAAACCGTTTGGCCATTTTCTGGTAGAGCCCCAGTATCTGTCCACTGAGTCTAGGGTCTGGGGCTGGCTGGTCATCCACTTGTTACAGGTTTGGAAATTGAATTTTGTTGTAGTACCCAGAGCTTATCAGACTGGAGAGTGCAGGTTTACAGGCAGAGATACTGACTGGTTTATGAACGGGAGTGCCAGTTCATCGATGTGCAGTGCCCAGACCAGCCACGCGCACCCTGTTCAGCACTCCCTAACCCTTGGCTCACGTTACAGACCCTCCTGCATTTACAATGGGGTTGTGTCCTGATAAGCCACTGTAAGTGAAAAATATTTTGAGTCGAAAATGCGTTTAATGCTCTGATAAACCTTTCGTGATGTCGAAAAATCGGAATGGAACCATCGTTAAGTGGGGACTGTCTGTGTTTGTGAATCCAAACTGCACTTGAAAGGCTGCTCGTGGGCGCTGGGTGTGGTGGCGCGTGCCTGTAATCCCAGCGACTCCGGAGGCCGAAGCAGCAGGATTGCTTGAGCCCGGGAGTTTAAGACCAGCTGAGTGACATAGTAAGACCCCGTCTCTTTTTAAAAAAAGGTTGCTTGTTTGTGGAATCAGATTGATAAAGGCAGACAGCCCTGTGGTGTGCGGCTGATCCCCCTGCCCACCGTCTGCCCTGCTCGTTTCTCCGCCAGAGTCTCTGTTTCTGTGTCCAGGACAGTGCTGGACAAAATGCTCGATCTCTCTGACAAAACAAGGATCTCGTTTTACTTTGGTTCTTTCAAATTACACTCTGTAACTTTCTCTTGGAATTGTAGGGGTGGCTTTTTCCCTCTCTCCTCCCTGCTTGCCCCCCACTCCAGTGTGGCTAGAGCAGAACAATGTAGCCATTTCCCAGTGTGACTTGCGTGTGGAATAAATGAGAGAAAATGTTGGGTCGGGGCCCTGTGGAGAGTGGAGAGTTAGTTCTTCATTCGTTTGGCCTTGGGAAGCTACTGGAAATGAGTAAGGGGGTGATTGGGATAAGAGTTATATTTATTGTTATTTTAATGACAAAAGCATCACCTCCAGCGCTTAGAAAGGAGAGAAAAACTAATCTTAGGCAATTCCGTGAGTACTGGTCCGTTTACTAGAGAAAGCAGCTGTTTATTCACCTTGCAACACCTTAGATGAAGTCCTGTGAGTTCCTTTGTTAGTGAAATGAAATACCCCTCTTTAACCAGAAGATGGGGCTGGACTCCCTTGGAAACAAACCGCAGAGGCCCTTCCTAGAACCGTTTTCCTGTGCTCACTTTGCCGGTAGCTTCAGTCAGTAGTACGCACTGTGGATGTACATCAGAACCACATGGGCCGTTTTCCAAAAATACACTGATGCCTGGGCCCCCGCCCAGGGATTCTGATTTAATTGGTCTGGGAAGTGCTCTTGGTAAGTGGTTCTCAAACTCTGCTGCACATTTGAATCTTCTGGGAGACTTTTCAGCCTACACCAAAGAAATCAGAATGCCTGGGGGAGGAGCCAGCCATCAGTGTTGTTTTTAGATCAGCCAGTTGTTCTACTGTGCAGCGAAGTTTGGGAACCACCGCCCTGGGCTACGTCATTTGAAAACCTCCCCAGGACTGCCTCACTGGCTGAGCACCGCAGACGTCCAGGTGCCCCTTTGGTCGCAGTTAAAGTTGGAGTGGATGTGGGGCGGATCTCCAGGGAGGATTGCTGGAAGGATCTGCCCGTTGCCCTCCCTCTTCCTCGTATGGGTGGAGGCCTGGTCTCCTGCCTTTCCCTGCTGGCAGCTGGCCCAGGAATTCGTAGACATGATCGTGAGCAAGATCCTGGCCTGGCAGAGAAAAGGCGACAAAGAACAGCTGAGAGCAGGTGCCATCCAGGACCCTCTCTCTCTCTGTGTCCCCCCAGCTTTGTGACGACAAACTGTGCTCTGCAGTTTTCATCCCGTGGAATCCGACCTGGCCTTACCACTGTCCTAGCTCGGAACCTGGACAAGAACACCGTGGGCTACCTGCAGTGGCGATGGGGTATCCAGTCAGCCATGAACACGAGCATCGTCCGGGACACTAAAACCAGCCACTTCACTGTGGCCCTGCAGGTGAGCCAAGGAGCTGCCATCTCCTGAGGACGGAGCTCCGGGCACTCAGTCAGGTGCCCTGCTCAGGTCTAAGTACCCATGGAGGCCCGAAGGGCAGGCTCTGGTTGCCCACACTCAGGAGTGATCTGTTGGAAGCTTCACAGAATGTTGAGATAATATCCTCAGGCACCCAGAGTAGCTGTGTGCAGATTATCCTAAAGCAAAATGACATTTTAACATCTGGGGGGAGAAGCCCACAGAATTCAGATGGGAGCACTGGTTGGCAAATGAAGCCCTAAAGCAGAGTTGTGCACTCAGATGCCACCCAGGCCAGGCAGTGAGTGAAGGAGGCCAGGCAAGGGCTGGTGAATGAGAGGCCACCCCTCAAAGGCCGCTCTCACCAACTTCTGCCACTAGGAGCACAGGCTCAGTGTTGCCAGAGTTTTTATTTTTCATGACAAGCTAAAAAACTGGGTTTTTATGTGCAGTCTCCAAGTTTTTAAAAACTGGCTACTAGGAAATTTTCACACACTTTGTGCAGCTGCCAGATGATGGCTGCTGCCTTAAAGGCCTGCAGAGTAGATGCCCAGAGCTGGTGGGCGGGTGGCTGGGCCCCCCCAGCCTGCCCACGGAGTCACACATGCGTCTACCCTCTGTCTCCCCAGCTGGGGATCCCTCACTCCTTTGCACTGATCAGCTATCAGCACAAGTTCCAGGATGACGATCAGACTCGCGTGAAAGGATCCCTCAAGTAAGTGCTGGCCTGGCTGACACGCAAGCGTACTGGTCTGCGTGGGCGTTTCCCGTGGTAGAGCCGGTTGGCATGAGGCACCCGCTCGTGGGAATGTCTTTGTGTGGCATTTCTTGAGGGCCTCCCATGGGGACGCTGTAGGGATTTAACACTCTGCAGTCCCAGCCCTCAAGGAACTCGAGAGTCGAATGGAAGAACTGGACCGCGGGTGTCCCAGCTTTGTTCTGTTAACGACCGAGGGCACTGGACATGAGTCCGCTCCCTGTGGGTGGTGGGGATGGGATGGGGACCCGGCCTCTTCTCAAGTGACAGCCGCCCTTGGGGTGGTGAGTGAGAAGGACACAGGTGGTGACCGCAGGCTGCTCCGTGCAGGGCAGGCTTCTTTGGGACCGTGGTGGAGTACGGAGCCGAGCGGAAGATCTCCAGGCACAGCGTTCTGGGTGCAGCTGTCAGCGTTGGAGTCCCGCAAGGTGTTTCCCTCAAAGTCAAGTAAGTTGAGCTCAGATCTTTCCAGCCAAGGAACGTCTGGCAGCTTCACTCAGCTGGGTCGAACTGAGTTAAGGGTGAAATAGCCTTTGCTTTGTAATTTTGTTCTCAGAGATGCAGTTGCTTCTGTCTTTGGTGCATAAGCAGACGTCAAGGAGTAGAGATCCAATATCGAGTCAGTGAAGTCTGAAGCTCTGCCCCCCAGCCGTGCACCGGCCCTCCCCGATGTCACTGGATGGTGGCCGGGGCAGCCCACACCGCCTTAAGACACAGCGTCAGTTCATGCCTCTCACCAGAGGGTTTCCGTCGGCACACACCCTTGCTCCCCCGCTCCGTGTCAGGTCACTGCCCTCCTCTCTGCTTAGTTCTTCAAAAGACCTGCCTGTATTCACTCGCGTTCGTTTCATTTCTCTCTGAACCCACTCCAGTCAGGCTCTCTCCCCAGCCCTCTCCAGAAACAGCCTTTCTCAGCCATCAGTGGGGCGCCCTCCCTCACATGTCAGATCAGAGGGTTTCTTTTTTTTTTCTTTTTTCCTTTTTAAGAGACAGGGTCTAACCCTGTCGCCCAGGCTGGAGTGCAGTGGCCTGATCATAGTTCACTGAAGCCTCCAACTCCTGGGCTCAAGGGATCCTCCTGCCTCGGCTTCTCAAGTAGCTGGGACTGCAGGCGTGCACCACTGTGCCCAGCTAATTTTTTATTTTTGTAGAGATGGGGTCTTGCTGTATTGCCCTGGGGGTCTCAAACTGCTGAGCTCAAGCGATCCCTCCTGCCTCAGCCTCCCACAGTGCTGGGATTACAGGCATGAGCCACCGTCCCTGTCCTTAGTGTCAAATTCATTAGCGTAAAGTTGTTTATAATATCCCCTGTCCTTTTAACCTGTATAGTTACATGTGGATGATCCCTCTTTTCATTCCTAACACTGGCAATTTGTGTCCTTTCTACCTTTTTCTTGATCAGTCTAGCTAGAGTACTTACCTTTTCAAAGAACCGGCTTGTGACTTTGCTAATGTTTTCTATTGTTTATCTATTTTCTATTGCATTGATTTCTGATCTTTCTTCAGGGTCTTGCTCTGTCTCCCAGGCTAGGGTGCCGTGGCATCATCATAGCTCACTGCAGCCTCCAACTCCTGGGCTCAAGTGATCCTCCTGCCTCGGCCTCCCAAAGTGCTGGGATTATAGGCTTGAGCCACTATGCCTGGCCCTTTGCTTAGCTTTTTAAAGTTGAACCTTAGGTTATTAATTTGATATCTTCCTTCGTTTCTAATGTAAACATTTAAGGCTATAAATTTCCCTTTATCCCATAAATTTTGATGTGTTGTATTCTTATTATTATTCAGTTCAAACTATTTTCCAATTCTACTTTTAGAAATATATTGCTTCGTTTGCAAATATATAGGTTTTTTCTAAATATCTGATTATTACTGATTTCTAATTTAATTTCATTTTGGTCAGAAAACATATTCTGTATGATTCTAGTCTTTTTGAATATATTGAGATTTGTTTTATGGCCCAACATATAATTGATCTTGGTGAATGTGCCATGTGCAGTTGAAAAGAATGTTCTACAGTTGTTAGAGGTAGTGTTCTTTAAATACCAGTTAGATCAACATGGTTGACAGCATTGTTCAGAATTTTTATGACTTTTCTGATTCTTGGGCAGTTGGTCTCTAAGTTGCTGAGAAAAGAGTGTTAACATCTCCTGCTGTGACTGTGGGATTCTCTGTTTGTCCCTTTGTTAATTTTTGCTTCATTATTTTGAAGTTCTGTTATTAGATACATACATTTTTATTATTATATCTTCCTGATGTGTTAACCTTCTTATCATTATGAAATGTCCCTCTTTGTTTCTAATAATAGTAAGCTTTTTTTTGAAGTCTACTTTATCTGATATGAATGGAGCTACTTAGTGTCCTTACACTATGTGTAGTTTGTCTTTTTATGTCCCTTTGCGTTTGACCTACGCTGTGTTTGCATTTGGCCGTCTCCTGCGCAGCATATGGTCGGGTCTTGCTTTTCCATTCGTATGATCTTTTACTTTTTAATTGGCAAGCGTAATAATGGTTAATGTAACTATTAGTACAGTTGGATTTATACCTGCCAATTTTATCATTTGTTTTCTATTTGTCCCTTCTGATTTTTGTTCCTCTAACCCTCTTCTTCTTCCTTTTTTTATATTAATTGAATATTTTTAGTATTTCATTTTAATTTATCTGTGGCATTTTAGTGATATCTCTTTGCATTTTTTTTTTAAGTTACAATAGGGATTACAATACACATTACTAACCTTTCATGGTCTGTTTCAAGCTAATATTGTATTACATATAAAATGAAAGAACCTCAAAAACTTCTAGGTCGATTTTCCTTCTCCCCATGTCCTAAAAATATGTTTCCTTCTGGTGTTAGTTTCTTTGGCCCGAAGAACTTTCTTTAGCTTTCTGATAGCTATAAGTCTGCCAGTGATGCCCTCTTAATAATCTTTAACCGGAAAATGTCTTTGTTTTTCCTTTATTCTGCTTTTATTTTTATTGGTTTATTATATTTTATCTACATACATTTTATATATATATATTTTATACATATATATATATATATATATATATATACGGTTTTTTGTTTTGTTTTGTTTTTTTAAAGAGACAGGGTCTTACTCTGTCACCCAGGCTCGAGTGCAGTGGCCCAGTCATAGCTCACTGCAACCCTGAGCGCTTGGGCTCAAACAGTCTTCCCACCTCAGCCTCCTGAGTAGCCAGGACTACAGGGGTGTGCACCACCACACCCAGCTAATTTTTTTATGTTTTGCAGAGACAGTCTAGCTATGTTGCCCAGGCCCATCTCGAACTCCTGGCCTCATGTAGTCCTCCTGCCTAGGCCTCCCAAAGTGCTGGGATTATACGCATGAGCCACTGCAACTGGCCTCTTTTTCATTCTTTACAAGCATATTTTCATATATGTCTTTGAGCATAGTTAAAATGGCTGCTTAAAAATCCTTATCCACTGGCCGGGCACAGTGGCTCACGCCTGTAATCCTAGCACTCTGGGAGGCCGAGGCGGGCGGATTGTTTGAGCTCAGGAGTTCGAGACCAGCCTGGGCAAGAGCGAGACCCCGTCTCTACCAAAAATAGAAAGAAATTAATTGGACAGCTAAAAATATATAGAAAAAATTAGCCGGGCATGGTGGCGCATGCCTGTAGTCCCAGCTACTCGGGAGGCTGAGGCAGTAGGATCGCTTGAGCCCAGGAGTTTGAGGTTGCTGTGAGCTAGGCTGACGCCACGGCACTCACTCTAGCCAGGGCAACAAAGTGAGACTCTGTCTCAAAATAAAAAAAATCCTTATCCGCTAATTCCAACATCTGGATCATCTGGGATTAGCCTCTGTTTATTTTTCTCATGTATGTATATATGTGTATGTGTGTGTTTGTGTGTGTGTGTATGTATGTATAGAAAGTAGTTTGTATTATATACTGAGTATTATGAATGATACATTGTAGAATGTATGGTAGAAACTCTGTATTCTTTTGTTTCTCCAAAAAGTATTGATTTTTCATTTTAGAAGGCAGTTAACTAGGCCGAACTCAGACTGCAGACTCTGACTCACCTGTGGTGGTGGCAGCAGCCGAAAGCCTCAGTAGACTTATTTTAGCCTTAGCTAGGCCACTTGACAGATCAGGGGTCAGCTGGAGATTTGTGCCACGTTCATATACCCAGTTTGGTGCTCCCCATCTCTGGCTTTCTTTTTTGGGGACTGTTCTCCTTTCTAGCTGCCATGGTTAACCAAAACTCTGAGCTCTGGTTCTTCAATCTAATATGACTGCAAGTGTCTTTCCAAGTTTTAGCCAGCCCAGATGGTACTGACTGAGACTTACTCTCAGGCTAAAAGCTGTTAAAAAAAAAAAAAATCCAGGAAACTTGCCAGTCCCATTCCATTCTTCTGAGTTTCTTCCTCCTTCAGTAGCTGCTGCCTTGTAGCATCTCTCAGTACCTTAAAGCCTTTGTGGCCTATATGTGGTCCAGAGTTTACAGATTGCCCAGTAGGAGCTACTCAGCCATTACTGGAAGCAGAAGCTCCGTAACTTGCTAACTTTTGAGTTCTTCACAAACACATCAGTTAAGGACTGAGATGTGATTCTCTCTCAGGACACCTGGAAGAGTATCCATTCCCGTCTTCTAGGGCCTATGACCTAACACAACCATGGGGGACATTTACTCTGGCAAAGCATTACTTTGTTGTATTGACCTCTGACCTTGAGGTCAGCGGGCAGTGAGACCGTTCTGTCATGTGTCAAATCCAGCAGCCAAACTTTAGGGAACCAGCAAAGGGGAGTGGATTATGAAACAAGCAGACTTCTGGGCTCCTTCTAACTTGTGTTCTGCGGATCTCGGAGATTTTCCTGTGACTGACAGCCCCATTACCCTTTCCTGGGAAACCTAACTCATCCTGGGTGTTTTGTGTTTCCCCCGCCCAGGTTAAACAGGGCCAGTCAGACGTACTTCTTCCCCGTCCATCTGACGGATCAACTTCTGCCCAGCGCCGTGTTCTATGCCACCGTTGGGCCTCTCGTGATCTACTTCGCTATGCACCGTCTGATCATCAAACCGTACCTCAGGGCTCAAAGAGAGAAGTGAGTTTATGATGTGTCATGGGAATGTCACTAAACCCTGTGCTTCAGGTTCCTCATCTTTAAAATGCAAATAATAATAGAATCTACCCCATAGGGTTAATAGGAAAATTAAATTAATTGATACATGTAAAGTGCTTAGCCTAGTGTCTAGGCCATGTGGAGTACTCAGTGAATGTTAACTGTGTTTTCGTCATGAGTAGCAGGACCAAAGTTATCCCTTCATCTGTCATTCCTACTTTCAGAAAGGACTAGCGTTGGTTTATAAAATTGTTAAGACTCTAAACCATGACCACAAAAAGTAAAAAGTTTTCCCTTTTCTCATTCTAATCATTTCTTTCCTGGCCCTGAGTTTCAGAGGAATGGGTTCTCGGTTCTTACATAAGGCACATGCATTACCTATAGTCTTTGAAGTCATAGAAATGCAATTTATTTTGCAGTTTCCTATAATCCACTGGGGTATAACATTAAATCTAAACTCTCAGTGAGAGCATCTCTACAGAAAACTTAGGGATGGTTTAGGTTTGTTACTTTATAATGATCTAATTTAATAAAGCATTGTACTTAGAGAATCTCAGAGAAAGGAGGAAAATATCCTCCTCTGGCCTCCTCTAGCCTTTGAATTACTATAATTCAGGGTCCCAATTTCCCCAGAGAAGGGAAAATTGGCACAGAGAAGGTGCTGGGTCCAGTATTCTGATGGGACAGGTGTGGGCTGACCCAGGTCCCTGTACTTTGCTGTAGGAAAGTGTATCTATGTGTCTAAAGTAGTACTCGTTTTTCCTATCACCAAAAGTATTATTTAATAATCCCAGAAGGTTGATGGAATCTCCTGAGATTCTTTCAGGTGGGGTCTTCTTTCCAGCGGGTGACCTGTAGGCTCCAGTGAGGAGGGGAGACAGAGCCATCCAGGGACAAAATGAGAGCTGCAGGCCTGTGACTTGCCGGAGACTGTCTTGGAAGTATTTTTTAAAGTTCTAGAACTAGAAATCCAGCAAGATCACAGACGTTAGCTGGGCACAGGTCCAAACGACGGGCTGTGCTGGCGCACTGCTGGGCCATGCTAACGTGTGGATTGTGTTCTTCTCGTGTAAGGGAACTGGAGAAGCAAAGGGAAAGTGCCGCTAGCGACATTCTGCAGAAGAAGCAGGAGGCAGAAGCCGCTGTGAGTGCTCATCGGCGCCGCCCCGCCAGGCCTCCGCCCCCTCCTGACCTCTGGGAGTCTTCCTGCTGCTTGTGCGGGACACAGGATGTAGTGAATGCTCCTGTCTGTTCTAGCCCACGCTTCTCACGCTGGGGCTGTGTGGGAACACACTTTACACCCTGCATGCTGGTCTCAGGGGCCTTAGGTTTTAGGCTTTTCTTCCCCAACAGCTTCATTCACCATTTCAGTCTTCATATTATTTCCAGGACGCAAGGCTGGGAGCTTCAGTCCCTGTCCTAAAGATTATACACGGTTACCCTCAGCAGGCATAACAAGGGTTTTTAAAAAGTGGTGGGTATTGTCCTCTGTTTCTGCCTTTTAAGGAATATGAGAGAACAGGGACATCCTGGGTAAATGGCAGGCACACTGTCAGGTTCTCTGTGGTCAGAAGGGCCGAAATGCACGTACAGCACCCAGGCAGACAGCCTGACGCAGGCCATGGGCGGTGTGTGCAGCCCAGCAAGCATGTGCCCATCTGAGGGGACAGGACAGCGCTGCCTGGCAGAACGGTGCCGTGGGAGAACGCGGGTCCTTTCTCAAGAGGAGCCGGAGTCCAGCTTCTCGTGTGAAATCTCCCTGTTTTTAAATGCTGACAACGTATTCAGTATGACTGTAGTGGGTCAGTGCAGCCTACCCACCCATTCACAATCCCTAGAAGGGGGACTGAGGGGATCTTGCTCCCACTGGGGTCACTGGTGGGGCTCATGGTGCGTCTTTACCTGCTGACCCTGAGCTGCCTACTCTGAGACTAAGGGCTTCAAAGCGAGCCAGTTGGGGAGCCAAATTCTTAGGGTGTCCTGCTCTCTCCCCTTATCCTGAGCGGGTGTGTTGGCGTGGACACGGGCTGCGTGTCTGTGGCCCTCTGAGCAAAGAGGTGGAACACAGCCCCTGGGGCCCTGACAGTGGTCACTGTTGTTCTTTGGCAGGTTCGGTTGATGCAGGAATCTGTCCGAAGGATAATCGAGGCAGAGGAGTCCAGAATGGGTGAGAAGGCATGTCCTCTCGTGGGCCAGGGTGGGCGCTGGGGGCCTGTCGCTGCGCTGACCGAGTCCGTCCTCAGGGCTCATCATCGTGAACGCCTGGTACGGGAAGTTCGTCAACGACAAGAGCAAGAAAAGCGAGAAGGTGAAGGTGATCGACGTGACTGTGCCCCTGCAGTGCCTGGTGAAGGACTCGAAGCTCATCCTCACAGAGGCCTCCAAGGTACCACGTGCTGGCCGCCACGGGCCACGTGCTCGCAAGATCCGGGCAGAAAGGGGCAGCTTGGGGTGTAGGTTCAGGCTGACAGGGACAGTCGCGGCCCCTTGCCATGGAGTCTTTCATGTTGCCAACATGCAGACAGTATCCACACTGGAGCTGTTACTCCATCCATCCATCCATCCATCCATCCACTCGACAGGTATTTACTGAGCCCCTGCTATGTGCCGGGCACAGCACAAACAGAACATGCGTCCGCCTTCATGGCCTTAGCTTTCTGTCTGTTGCCTTGTTCCAGAAAGAGCGTGAGGTCACTTTTACATGTGTAAGTCTCGCCTCTGGAGCCTGGACTATCCGGAATCAACATGCAGGTTAGCTGAGGCCAAAGAACTCCTGACTCCTGAAGACGTCGTCCAGCGTCTGTGTCGCGGCAGGGCGTCTGTGAGGAAGGGCCTCTGTTGAGAGGCACGTCTAGGACTACATGGGCAACTTTTTGAGATTCTCATTTCTTTTTCTTCAAGCTCCAAAGTTTGCATCTTCCACGCTGCACCTGAGGCATTAGTAGGGGGGAGTTCGCGCTGGGTCTCGAACTGTCTTTAGAGTAACAATCTGTTGGTTGCAGGCTGGGCTGCCTGGGTTTTATGACCCGTGTGTGGGTGAAGAGAAGAACCTGAAAGTGCTTTATCAGTTCCGAGGTGTCCTGCATCAGGTGATGGTGCTGGACAGTGAGGCGCTTCGGATACCAAAGCAGTGTGAGTAGCTGCCCCTTTGCAGTCACCTGCTGGGGGCAGAGACATCGGAGTGGCTGCTCAGCGTGTGGGCGATGACCACCGTCCCTCGGTTGTCCACGTGGGATTAGGGAGGCCAACTGGCTGGGCTTCGTGACTCGCTCAGAGCCCATGATTTGTGCACTGAGGAGGAGACTTTAGCCTTCATGGTGGAATTGGAGTGAGCTGTTTGCTTGGCCACTCCAGCTTTGATGGCTGGGCGGGAAAGCAAACCTCCATATCCCAGCAGCCAATTCTGGGCAGCACGTGCTCTGCGCGGTGTTGGGCCCAGCCAGCTGCTGACCCATCGGGATGACTGCTGCACCCCTCGGGTATTCATAGAAAGGAGCATGGAAACAGTCACCTTCTGATGGCCTGTGTCTATCTTATCTTTCACAGCTCACAGGATCGACACGGATGGATAAACTGCTTGAGAACCAGATTTTTAAAAAGGCTGCAAAAAATCTTGTCCTGGGAGTCTACAAATTTGGAAGCAGGGAGAAAACCCAGACATCAGATGTTTTTATTTTCTATTATTCCTATAAAAGGGGATACCGTATCAATTATGTGAAAGAACACGCAGACACCTCAGCTTTTGCAGGTGCTGTGGGCAGGACCGAGGCAGCCCCACCCTGGACCAGACCACGGCATGGCCCATGGCTGTGTTCTCAAGGATCATGTTCCTGGAGGGACGGGCCCTGGCCCCCGACTCTCCCAGCTCCCCGCCAGGGTCTTCAGCATGTGTGCAGACTGCAGCCACCGCTAGTTGTCCGTTCTGTCTGGAGGTCTTTGTGGAACACCCGCCCCCACACCTAGGACTGTGAACTCCTCCTAACATCACACTGAATGTGGGAAACAAATGGAAAGGCAGGCGGGCGCTTCCACATGCCAAGGCCTCCAGATCAAGGGAGCATCTGTTTGGTCGACTTCCCAGAAACCACCTTTTCCTGCTGAAGTATTACCAAGTGAATCTGGAAAGGATTATGGGTTTATAAAACTGCTTTTTATCTAAGAACAAACAGGTTTGGAAAATTAGTCTCTTTTTTCCCCGCTCCCAGAGCTTTTCAGATCATTCCACCAGCCCCTGGCTAGGGACAGCGTGGCGTAACTCCTGGTCCCTGGGCCCATCCCTGTCACGGGTTGCTTCCTGTACCCCTGTGGGAAAACACCTTGCTGCCAGCGCATGTGAGCTGACCTGCATCCCTCTGTCCCTGCCCCGCAAGGTGCGGCTTGGCCCGCCTGTGCCCACCCACCTCCAGAGCACAGGCCAAGCACTAGGTGAGGGGAGCCAAACCGAGGTGTGGACGCCAGCGCTGGCCTGCGGCGCCCAGCAGGTGGCACTGCTACTCCCTGCCCCTGCACACAGGGACCCCTTTTGGGGATGTCTGTGCTCCAGGACCTGGATGCACAATGTCATGGGCATCAGCAGGCCCCTACCATACGTAAGCAGTTATGTGAAGAGCTAAGGCCTGTCGCCTGGGTCCTGGAAGTGGCAGTGGTCACTCACTCTTGCTGACACCTCCGAGCAGGTGCTATAAGGCCAGTGGCCGTGACAGCTGGCCCTGGCGACTGACGGCTGCTCTGGCCTCCAGCTGCTCTGAGCTATTGCTAGCACCAGGCTTCACTCCCTGGCACTGCTATCAGAATAGCCAAGAACCTCCTCCTTCCAGTTTCTAACAGCAGTTCAGGTGGTCCAATCCTGTAATAATTTACCTCCATCTTAAAAGAAAGTTTCCCTGCCTCACTGACTGTGAGCCGCGCGGTACGGACCGTGTTGCATGAGCCGACTTTGGACATGGCCTGGGCGCCCTCCGCTGCAGGCGGTTCTTTTGGGCACCAATCTCTTTGTTTTGTTGGAAGTTGTACAGAGGCACTCTCTTACCACAATAAACCTTTCCTGAAAGCTGAGGATAGTATTTTTCAGTTTATCCATGTGTTCTGCCACAGCCCCGAGTAGCTGGGACACAGGCACACACCACCGCGCCTGGCCTGTGCGTTGTTTCAGGAGTGAGCAAAGGGAGGAGCCCCCTCCCTGGGGGCCTCGCTCTGTCCTTTCTTCTTCACTGTTCAACCCCGTTTAGACCACGAGGCTTAACTTGAAGCTGTGGTTCCATTTTCTGCATTAAACATTTGCTAAGAAATAGCACCCAAAGTAATCAATTAGGGTTGGGCGTGGTGGCTCACGCCTGTAATCCTAGCACTGTGGGAGGCTGAGGTGGGAGGATCACTTGAGCTAAGGAGTTTGAGACCAGCCTGAGCAAGAGCAAGACCGCGTCTCTACTATAAATAGAAAGAAATTAGCCAAACAACTAAAAATAGAAAAAATCAGCCGGGCACGGTGGTACGTGCCTGTGGTCCCAGCTACCCGGGAGGCTGAGGCAGGAGGATCACTTGAGCCCAGGAGTTTGAGGTTGCTGTGAGCTAGGCTGACGCCACGGCACTCTAGCCCAGGCATGAGAGGGAGACTGTCTTAAAAAAAAAAGAAATTAGGATTTTTAGTTTCTCTTTCTTAACCAAAAGCACAGTTTTTTTTTGGTAGTCCCACCCTGCCCACTCTGTAACAGGAACTAGGAAGTCAGTCTTGGGAGTGGGGAAACAGCAGAAGAGAAAACTCTGAATGAAGGAGGAAACACCGCAGTGTAGAAAGCCACTGTATTATGTTTGTTGCTCACTCAAACCAGGCCAGGAGAGGAGCTGCTCCTTAGAACAGAGGCCAGTCTCAGCCATCTTGAGCCAGCTGTCCAGGCTGATGGAGGGGACCCACCTGCCCTACCATAGAGTCAGCCATCGCTCCCTCAGGGAAGTGCAGTACTGGCTCAGTGTGTGCCGAAAGGACAGCAGCCAGAAGCCAGCCTCAGACTGGACTTCTGTTACCGCAGGAGGACTAAGCTTGTCACGCCCAGGAATCCACGCTCCCAGCCTGAGGCCTCCAAACATCACAGCAGACAGTGTTCGGGCTCCTCACCAGCTAGCGTGGCTACTGCCCAGCAAGCTCATTGCCAGCGTTCTCCACGTTGGCAGCAGACAGAAATAACCACGGCCAGAGCCCCAAATCCAGGCCTGGCCTTGGTGCCACTGCTGCCCCCATGTCCCAGAACCTGTCGGGCTCAGCTCCCCTGCTCTGGCCGAGCCCTGGCCTGGGGTCCCTGCTGCCCCTCTCTGTGGGCGCGGAGCCGGCTGGACATCCTCCGCATCACCATCCTCTGGGCCTTCAAGCGCCTCCGGAGCTTGTCGTTTTCCTTCAAGGTGAGGAAGAGTTTCTTTTTCAGGGCATCTAAATCTAAAAGGGCGTAGCTGTGGTCAGATGGCTGCTTGCGGAGAGGCCTTCTCAGCCCTGTGAGGCTGCCCGGCCGACCAGGCGCCTCTGCAGCTTCCGGTCTGTGTGGCAACACCTGAGGACAGAGGGGAATGAGAGCTGACAGCTGCCCAAAGGAAAAAGCCACTATGGGGCGGTGGGAGGCCCAGCACCAGCCCTGCGTGGCAGGACTCACTTCCTGCTATTCTGAAATCCAAGTATGCCCAAATCACAGCGGTCAATTTTATTGGGAAGCTCAAATCAAGACTACATACCCTGTTCATTGCGGTTCTCATGTGGCAGGTTCTTTGGGGCACCAGTTTTCATTGTGTTTGAAGCAATCATCTTGGGTTGAGACTGACCAACCACGTGCTGCCTTCGTACTCAACCCCACGTCTTACCTGTTTTGTGGGGCCTTCGGCATTCGGGGGCAGCTGAAGCTCTTCGAGTGCGGTGTCCATGTTTCTTCCTGGGCTGTGCTCCTCGGCCTCTGCTGCAGGGAGGATGACCTGGGGACAGCAGGGTACAATCAGGCAGGTGGTGGCCAGAGACAAGGGATCCACCCCAGCTGTTCCCTGTCCATCCCGAGTAATCCCCTCACGCCATCTGGGGAAGTGGCTACAGCCAGGGGACCAGCTCCAGGGTCTGCAGCAGCATAAACAGCCATCTCCCTACTACACACACTGGAACAGGAACCTTAAGAAACCGGGCACGAGCCTCCCCACCAATGGGTATCTCTCCGATATTGCAAAGAAAGCAGGAAGCCTAAGAGCTCCGGCTTCCCCTCGCTAGGAAAATGGCAGAGCCTAGCAGGCAGCCTTGCTGGGCAGATGCTACCTGCTCTGTCTCAACCCACAGCACAACTTCAACACGCAGGTGGATGGCCCGGGTACCTGACGCACCTTTTCTTTCTGTGAGCTGGCACTTCCCCTCTCACCGGCAGGGTCTGTGTTCTCCCTCACCAGCTGCAAGAGACACACACGAGCGGATGCAGACGGGCTGCGTGGCTGCTTGCTTGGGAGGACGAGAAGTTCTGCGGACCCCAAGGTCCCTCATAGCCAGGCGCAGGCCTCGGTCCCCTTATGGTCCCCATGCTCGGCCCGGTGCCTGCCATGTCTAAGGAGCATTTGTTCAATTAAACTGACCACAGGCCCGGCCCAGCTTGCACCACCTACTTGGTGTTCTCCTTCTCCAGATACGTTCCCAAATCATGGTCAGTGGCCCCTGAACAGGTCCCTATTAAGCCAGAGAGCTAATTCATGCATGTCCCCCCACGGCCTGGCATCCTGCCTCCATAAACGTTCGTCCTAGGAGTGGCAGCACGTGGCAGAACACTCATCTCACGCTTGGCACCACCAATGCAGAACCCGTAGTCCGCAGGCCTACCAAGTGTGGTGACCTTAGAGCAGAGCCTGCCTGAGCCAGAAGGGGCCACAGTCAGCTTCTCCCACCAGCCTGGCAGCAGAAGCACCAAGGACTAGGACTGCAGATGTCCCCACCCCCAGCTGTTAAACCGTAACCTTATTTCAAGGACAAACATAAACATGTTACACAAATATGTGGTAGTGACTAAACTGTACCCCATTTATTAACAAACATGCACCCACTCTGTGCCAGGCGACGCGCTGGTTGTTGGACATACAGCAGGGAAACGAAGTCCCGGCCCTCGTGGAGCTTACACTCAAGGGAGGAGACCGAAACCTGAAGGAAAAGTGAAGCGGAGCAGGTGCTGGAAGACCAAGGGGCAGGAGGGCCAGCGGGGCGCAGCGAGGGCCTTCCCGGAGGACTTGAGACCAGGGACAGCGGCATATGGCCACCCGGGGCACGTTTGCCAACACACGCCCGCCACGCTAGCCCTGCAGTCTGACTCCCGGTTTTCACTCTCCCACTCGGGCTCCCTTCCCTCAACAAAACTCACCAGCACAGGTGCCTGCTGGCCTCATGCTCGTCCCGCCCCTGCTTTGCCTTCCTGTTGCAGTGGGCGCATCCCGTGCGCCCACACTCGGATTCGGCGTCCAGCTGTTTGTGAGCCCCCACCCAGATGTGTCCACCTCAGTATCCCAAGGGTACATCAGACCCACGTCCCTGGGACCAAACTCCCCAGGGGGCTCAGGAAGCCCCGCCTCCCCGACCACCCCAGCCTGCCAGGTCTGCAAAGTCCATCCCCGCGTCCACCTGCCTCCTCCCTGCATCCCGCCTTCAGCTGAGGCCGTGACGATGCTCAGCTACGACACAGCTTCCAACCAAGGCACTCTCTACCTGTGGCCAGAGGGAGCCTTCCAAAGCCACATTCCTCCCGCTGCCATGGACTGAATGTTTATATCCCCCCAAAGCTCCCATACTGACACTTGTGGCCCCCAACGTGATGGTGTTAGGAGGTGGGGCCTTTTGGAGGTAACTAGGTCGTGAGAGTGGAGCCCTCCTGGTGGGACTCGTGCCTCTAGAAGACACGGGAGAGTGCCTGCTCCCTGCTCTGCTGTCTGCCACCTGCAAACCCAGAAGGGGGCCCTGACCAGAACCAGCATCGGTGACCCTCCAGCCTGGATCCGTACTGTTGCTGCACGGGCCCAAATCCCTTCCACTGCAAGCCTCTGCCCACTGTCCCCAGTTCTCCCTCCACCACTGCCCTGGCAACATCCCTCCGTTCTCCCGACCGCGCTCTCTGCCTTCACCTGTCAGCACAGGCCCAGCAACACGCGGCAGCACCTGAATGGCAGTGGCGCCCACCGCCAAGCCCTGACTGGCTACTCGGACACAGAGCACTGCCTCTGGATGCAATACCGAGCCTGCTGGTCTCGAGCCCACGGGAGACCCAGTCAGCAAAACAGAGAAGACCGAGCTCCCGGCGCATGTGCCAGCCGGCTTCTTCAACAGCGTCCTGGTGTGGAGCGTGACTTATTTCTAAAGTGGCTTTAAATTATGACTTCTCTTAAAGCGAAGGTCATGGCCAGCAGGGACACAGGGCTCTGGACCCCAGAGGCTGGACAGTGCTGCTTTCACTGTAGTTCTTGGCCTCCACTTTGCCTGCAAATGCCACCACCACCGCTGGGTGGATCGTGTGGACTGGATCTGCGAAGACAAAAGGCAGCGATGTGTCCCTACCTGCGTGGGGGCCTGAAAGGCAAACACCGTGGGCACGGCATTGTGCTTCAGGTTCTTGCGGTTCCCAAAGGCACTGAAGCACTCGGGCTTGAAGTGTTCGGAGCAGATGACCGTGTGCTGCTTGGGCTTGAAGTTGCCCCGGCCAATGTTCAGCACCCATTCCTTCAGCAGCTCCGGGCGGCTGAACGGGAACCTAGGGGCCGAGGCAGGAGATGTGAGAGACGCAGCACACTGAATTCAGCACTTGAGAGTCCCGCAGAATTTCCACACCACCACAGAGTATTTCACTGGGCAGCTCTGGAAATTCAGTACTTTGTTAAATCACATCGAATTTCTGGAAGCTTCTGTCATGGCTCTTAACAGCATCCTAAATAGGAAACCTGAGACCATGAACATGGCCCAAGTGCCCAAGTTAGCTGTTTTTGAAGCTCCATTTGCCAGGAGCCTTCATTCACTGCTTCAGGAGCCTGCCATGTGGGGGGCCCTGTTCTCGGTGCTGGGATGTGAAAGTGAATAAGAAAAGTCCCCACCCTCAAGGACCCTACATCCTAGAAAGGGGAGATGGCAGGTAAACCATCAGAGGGCAGAGCTGGATACGTTCTGGAAACCATGCAGCAAGGTTTGCCTGTGGACCGTGGAATAGAGAAGGAAGGAGGTTTGTGTTTCAGGTGGCAGTGGCTATAGAAGGAGCAGACTGGGGGATCAGAAGTTTGTTTTGTATGTTAGGGCTAAATCTGAGGTGCTTTTTAGATTGTCCATGTGCTGGAGTGGCAGGTGGGCACATGTGTCTGCAGATGTCAATGTGGGGTGGACCCTGCATAACCCATAAACCTGGATGAGACTGGTGCCCTGGGCAGCAAGCTTGTATGGGGACCATGACTGGGCTGTGGCCCACACCCCAAGTGCTCCAACACCTGTGACAAAGGAAGAGGGCGGAGAAGTGTCCTACAGGCCAAGTGGGAAAAGCAATCCAGGGGTCAATGATCAGTTGTGTCAAATGCTACAGAGGCCGACTACGACGACAGATGCCTGGAGCTGGCATCATAAGTCTCACTGGTGACTTGACAGAGCTCTTTTGTGGGAGCGGTGGGAATGGCTTCAAGAGAGAACAGGGGGCCGGGCGCGGTGGCTCATGCCTGTAATCCTAGCACTCTGGGAGGCTGAGGCGGGCGGACTGAGCTCAGGAGTTCGAGACCAGCCTGAGCAAGAGCGAGACCCTGTCTCTACTAAAAAAAATAGAAAGAAATAATCTGGACAACTAAAAATATATAGAAAAAAATTCGCTGAGCATGGTGACGCATGCCTGTAGTCCCAGCTACTGGGAGGCTGAGGCAGTAGGATTGCTTGAGCCCAGGAGTCTGAGGTTGCTGTGAGCTAGGCTGACGCCACGGCACTCACTCTAGCCAGGGCAACAGAGTGAGACTCTGTCTCAAAAAAAAAAAAAAAAAAAAGAACCGGGAAACTCCATCCCCAGGTATATACCCAGCGGAAACAAGCAGATGTAGCACGCACCAGAAGACAAGTCCCAGCAAGGCTGTCCAGAACAGTGTGTTTGTCACAGCCAAAAAATGGGGCCACCCAATTGCCCTTCAATTGTAAAACAGATAAATTCCGGCATATGCATTTAATGGAGTACTATGCAGTGAGCAAATGGAATGAACCGCGGGCCACTCTGACAGAAGGCAGCCCACAGCTCCCCGTGGGGAGGTGAGAGAAGGTGGTCCAGGTGTAGGGTCTCCAGGGGCTGGTAACGTTCTGATTCAATGGTGTTCACCTGGTGAAAACTCGTTGGGCTGGATACTTATGATCTGTTCATTTTTATGCATGTTATACTTCATTCAAAGCATTTATTACGAAACAGAGTGTAATGGGGGCGGAGAGGGAATGTGAACAATGAGCTCAAGCCACCCTGAGGAGTTGTGCTCTAAAGGAGGGCAGAGAAACCTTGGAGAAAGTATGCGCCATTCCCCGTGCACCGGAGGGCCAGGACGCGCTCTCCTGGGCAGGTCGGCAGACTGGGCGCGCTGGGGAACGGCGGCCCTGAGAAGGCGAGGGCAGACTCCGAGTCTCCACCATCGCCCACGCCCCCGCCAAGTCCCTTCCCCACCGCCCTCACACCCCTGGAGGGCTCTCATTCCTCCACTGCAGCCGCCCAGGTCCTCCCTTCACGCCAGGACGCACGGCGGGGGCTCAGCAGGGCGCCGGCACGCCGCAAGGCCGACCACCGCCCCACGGCGCATTCCTCCGGCCGAGCACCCAACACATTCCCGGCCGCGGCGGGGAACGCGGGACGTGACGCCAGCCCGGCCATACACACCGAAACCCCAAAGTCATTCCAGAAGTCCGCTGCTGTCCCCGCGGCCAGGCCGTGGCGGCGCTGGCCTCGTGGGCCTGGGACCCCGGCCCGTCCCCTGGGCCCGGCGGCCGCACGTCCTCGGGCCTCCCCAGCGTCCCCGCTCGGCGCGCCGAGGCCTCCGACCTCCTCCAGGGGCCCCGGGTCTGGGCCTCCCGCGCCCCCGGCGCCCCCGTCTCTCACCGGTGGAAGGTGAGCTGCTTCCTGCGGCTGCTGTAGCGGTTGCAGCACTGCCGGGCCGCGCACGACTTCGGCATCTCCAGGCCAGGCCCGGCTGCCCCTAACAAAGATGGCGGCGGCGGGGCGCGCGCGCGGGCGAGGCGGGGCGGGGCGGGGCGCCGGGAGCGGGAGGCGGGCCTGGCCTGGCTGCAGGGCGCGCTCGCCCGGAGGTCCCCGCAACTCGCGTCGCCCCAGGGTCGGGTGGGCCCTGGGCGCCACGTCGAGGGGTGCTCGCGGCCCCAACTCAAGCCCGAAGCCCAACTCCCAAGCTTGGGCCGGTGCAAGTCTCACCCCGATTCGCTACGGCCGGTCGCCCATCACCTTGTTTTGCCCCCCCCCGCCCCCCATGCAAGACACACCACTAAACCGCCTTGGACCCCTGGAAACCAGAAAGACCCAGCCCCCACTTTAGTCAATATTAAGGCCTCGAGAGGTGTTAATAAGCAGGTTTGGGCTCCTCTGATGTCGCCCAAGGACGTTCTAGTTGGCCACCGTTGGTCTCAGATAAGAGGCCAGTAGAGGATCAGGCACGGGGAACCCCAAGAGCAGACCGGCAGTCCCATCCCGAGCTCGCAGCGCCTCCGAGGCTGCAGCCTTCACAAAGCAGGCACATCACTCGCCAGGGTTTAAGCAGCTATTCCCAAATTTGACAGAGAAACTGAAAGCTATTCATGTCTACTCATACTATACTTTGTTTCTAAAGAATTCACTAGAAAAGTATTTTAAGAGCCCCGGGCATTTTTCAGTTTGCTAAACACAAACTCAGACTTTAACTTCCCAGAGTCCTCAGGTGATCCCAGTTTGGGGAAGTGATCGGAGGGAGAAACACAATTGTCCTTCAGTGCAGATCACAAGCACCTGAAGCTAGATACGAACTTCAAAGTAGCAATGTATTTATTTACAAAATATACAGTTTCACAGAAACAGCTTCGCTTTATACACATAAATTTTAAAATTACACAGAACCATGTAAACGATGTTAAGTGTCTGGCCTGGCCAAAGCCCATGGAAGGGGCCTACTTGGGGGTAACATGTTTCCCTCCCTTCATTAGCCCCTGGATGGGTCATGCCTAATTTGCATATAGAAGCTGATTGCAGCTGCCCAGCTCAATCTAACACAAAAACCAAGGTGTCTGACTTTTCAAGACACCACCCACAGGGATAGATCTGTTACAAGAACAAAAATGCAATCCTAGAAACAGAAATGGAGATGAGTATCAAATGCATTCCAGGAGCATCGAACCTCCCCGCACATGTAACAATCATGTAACAATTGCCAGGCTGGCAGTTCCACCCTAAAATCAGTCATATTCTTCACATGCACTTTAAAAATCTTAATGGAGTTTTTTAAAAAAGAAGAAAAACACTTTGGAACTTTGGTTATTGTCATGGTGAAGACACTGGACAGGCATTGTCACGGGGCAGATCTTTGGCAAATTTCTCTCCGCCTTGTCCTGGATGTCTGCCCTAGTCAGAGCTAGATAACTGTCTGGAGAGAAGGTTGTTTCTAAACCAGCTTACTATTTTCTCTACAGAGCAACATCTCCCTTAGTGAGCTTCACAATAAACTGGGTTTCAGAAACTTTCTCTCTACCTGTATGTTAATACAAGCAACAGAGTATTTTTTAAAAAATAAGACAGTTGACTGGACAAGTGTGAAAGATACTAGGACAAAACCCAGACTCTTGAATAGCCAAATTATGGTTCAAACCCCTTGTTGCTTCAGTGAGAACGTGGGAAGTGTGCCTGGCGGCCTCGCACAAAGGTGCCACATGAAGGGGAAGCCCCTGGCAGGGATCCCACAGGCCCATCCCACTGCAAATAAACATGACTAACTTGGGCATTCTTCCCTTTCCATGCCTTACAAGAAACAATGCTTATGAAAACATACCCATCAATTTACAAAACATGTTTGAGAACAAGAACTTCAACTGCTAAAGAGCCGTATCAATTTTGGAGAAAGCTGAAGCCCCCCCACCCCCAGAACCACCAGTGTCCCGGGGTACACCGCCCTCGAACAGAGTACTGCAGGGGCTTCCGGTGCAAACTCCCTGGTTGCTCCAGAGCTAGCCCTCACAGGGGCCTCCCTAGCTCAGGATGCTAGTGGAGATCTGAGGAGCTCTGCGCAGTTCAATGGTACATTCCTGAAGGCCTCTGTTACCCTATCACTCACTCACCAACATAACCCAAAAAAAAGAACTCAAGTCCTAACCTTGCCCTGTGGAACCAGCAGGCCAGCCTGTGTAAAGGGCGTATTAAGACCCACGCATAGGAGAGGCCTCCCTCCCAATTTTCCTTTACCCATAATTCAGAGGAACACCATCTGGGTCCCAGTGATTGCCTGTCCTTTATGTTGCTACCAGAGTAAGGTGAGGGGAAGAGACAAGGAACGAACCTAAATGCCCCCACACTTGGAACCCGCTAGCCTAGGCCTCACCCCAACACCTCACACACCACCTGGAGAGAGAAAGGGCACTCAGCAAGGAATCGGCCAGTACTTTTGGCTGTATCGTGCAAAAAGACAGGATTTTTTACATCGTGCAAAACAGGAAACTGAGTTATGAACACGGGCCACCTCAACCCACCAACCAACCCCCTTTCCACAGAGAAGCGGCCACATTGTCCCTTTTAACAAACAGAAGGAAACCTAAGAACCACGAGCTAGCCTGCCATCGCACGGCTCCTCTCAGAGTGAGGCCAGAGGGCTCCTGCAGATGACAAGCAGCAGCCGAGGCAGAGGGCAGGCCACTAGGGGCAGCTCTGATGGGTGCTGTACAGACACTTTTGGTAAAAGACTTAACACACGAGAAAAAGCTTACACGTATGGCTGTTCATTAACAGGCCGGGGAAATTGAACTCCTCTCCCCAACACGGTGGAAGCAGGAATAACAGCTAGCGTTTGTTCCAGTCGGCAGGAACTTGTTAACAATGATAGCAAAAACTCACAACTACCATGTACCCTCATTTTCAGCTGAACCAAACCCACTGCACTTGGGTGTTTAGTCCACCTCCACTGCAGAGAACACAGCTCTGGCAGCAGCTTTGGCCAATGAAGATTTTATTCGGTCACTATGTACAGTTTCTACCTTAGACAGCCTGTCCTTTTGCTTAGGCACCTGAATGGCAGGGATCTGCCCGCACCAGAGCGGAGAGTTCTGTGCTCAACTAAGAAAGGGGCCAGAAAGCCCACTGTCCCTTCGGATTCCTCGCGGCAGCCTCCTCGCCCGCCAGCAGTCAGTCCAGAAACAGCTTCCGGGAGCCCATACGGGAACGGTTGGAGCGGCGGATGTCAAACTTGGAGTCCCGGCACTTTTGGCAGACAAACACTTCCGGAACGTTGGATTTCCGGATTTTTGCACAGGACAGGTGAATCCAGGTGTGACACTCGTTACACTCGATCATGGGGCGGCCTGCAAATGGCTTCATGCAGAAGCAGGTGACAAGGTCCCAGGAATCGTCATCTGGAAGGAAAGAAACACGAGGACGGAAAATAACTTTCAGCCCCTCTCCACCAGGAAGCTGCACATCCAACAAGGAGAGCAGCTGAGTGTCCACGAGACCTGTTACTCCACTAACAAAAACGCTTTCAATGTCGCTTAACAACGATACTGATCTCTGAAAAACGCAGAAAATGCACAAAAGGCACTGAAGTGTGGGGCGACCAGCTATCACCCAGGAGATGCTTACTTATGAGCCACGTGATTTTTATATTGCGAGGTTCGTCTCTAGGTCTCAGCTCTAGCAGCATCAACCCCTTCCTGAGCCCCTCGGTACACATCCACCTTCCTGCACTTTCCTCCTCCCTGGAGATGGTGGAGCACTCTGCTGTCACAAGCCACGGAAGGGACCAAACGCTCTGCCCCAGAGAGATGACCACTTAAAATAACCTCTCTTCTAACCACCAGCCAACAAGCGGGTCCATCCTTCAGGGACACTTACCTGAGTCCACCATTATGTCCTCATCATTGCCAGTGCTGTCCTCATCTCGGAACACCACCTGTTTTCCCTGCCGGACGATAGTCCGTTTGCCTTCAGTTTTTATTTCTTTGACCTGATCAGGTGACACCGTGGCACAAGATCCACTGGAGGGTGTGTCGGAGTCCCAGCCTGAGCAGGGGTCACTGGGGGCCTGGGGAATATCCTGCAAGGTGGGACTTGTGGGGGTCTCCCCATACGGATCAGCAGTGTCCAGCTTCAGCAAGCCATCCCTGTACCCGTCCTTCTCGGGCACGTCGCTGTCCCTTCGCTTCCTCCTCTTCTTCTTCTTCAGCTTGTCCGTCTTCTTTCTGTCCAGCAGGAAGTTGCTGGGCTTGGCTCGCTGCAAGAGAGTGGGCTGCAGGTGGCTAAAGCAGCGGTCAGAGACTGGCAAGGGCACCGAGGACGCGATGTCGGTGAAACCAGTGTCCCAGCCATCACTGTCGATGGTGCCAGCGGTGCTGTTGGCAGGGCTGGGGCTGCTCCTCAAAGGGAGTTCCTACAAGGATGGAGGCAAAGGTGGCAGGGTTCTGATTACTGAGACCAGCCCCGGGCAGAGCAACTCCCACCCCTCCGCCAGCCAGGGCGGGCCTCCAGCGCCGTGTTCACACAGCCCTGGGCTGCTCAGTTCTCAGAGAAACAGCAGCGTCATTAGCAGTTTAATGTGACTCCACGCCACGAGAGGCGAAAACACCTTCCCTTGCTGAGCCCTCAGCCAGGGCATCAGCAGCCATTCAACAGGCATCTGCGGAAAAGACGCTACAGACGCCCTCTCCCGTCCTCCACCTCTCCCTGACTGTAAAAATCTCCTGCCCTTCGCCTTCCCAAGAGATACATTTTTTTAATTAAGTGAATTTAAATTAGCTTTGAGAATTTCCTGACACTTTTAAAAAACTGGAGACATCCCAAAATACTGTAAAATCAAAGTAGGTAATTACTGCCCCAAAGCAGTGAGCTGAACTCTATGGCTCCTTCAGATCATTTGAGCACATTCTCTTCAAATAGTGGAACGCGGCTTGGTACAAGACAAGCATTATCCACCACGTGGCAAGTGGAAATAATAAACCAGTGCTGGGATTTGGAATCCTAGAAATCCTGGATTCTTTTATTTTTAGCTTAATACAATATGAACAAGTCCTCTGACGCTGGGGCCCCACACCAGCTCTGCCCAGTCTGCCCTCTCTCAGCAGGGAAAAGGAGATCTCCTGCGTGGCTTCTAACCACCAGTCCCTGAAGGCTCCGGTGTGTGGTCCTCACAGCAACCAGGAGGCTGTGAGAGAGGCAGGGTGTGCACACCCCGTCCACACATCTCCTTGAACCCCAAGCTCCATCACTAATTAGCTGGGACCCAGAGCAAGGCAGTTCCCTCACTGCACCTCAGTGTCCTCATCTTTAAGCTGGGGATAAAAAATAGCCCCTCCTCATAGCAATACAAGGGCCAAGAACAGTGTCTGGCCATAGCAAACACTCAGCAATTACTGGCCACTAATAAAAGCAAGCAAGTATCAAAGACGATATTTACAAACAAATTTAGAAAGTTTATCAAGCCATTTCTAGATAAGCCTGCACTTTCTATTGCAGTTTTAGGAACCAATTCCCTGGCTGATCTGTTTCCAAGAAACAGTTCTGCGAGACCACTGCCTGAGGTCCTCCCAAGCAACACCTTCCAGATCCACAGCCCCACTGTGCGTTCAGGCACCCAGGGCATGCAGTGGGGCGCCCGGCCTGACTGTCCGGCAAGAAAGGTCTGCAGCACTCAGAAGATTACCTCCTTCGGATAAGGGATGTATCCAGCATAGGCCAAGACAAAGGTGCAGAATTTGTTGAAGTCCTCCACAGTCCTGCGCCTCTTGTAACTGGGGGAGTATTCCTGTTGCCGGTGGAGAAAAGAGTATGTTTGAAGGAGACACTTCTGGGTGGAATCACAGAAACAAAACAAAGCAAGCTGGAGCTTTTATCATCAACCACTCAAGAAATACACTGTTAGATTTATGGACAGTCTAAAAACAAGATAAGGTAGGTTCAGGTCAAGAAATAACACCATTTTCAGAAAGTTGAAAGAGGAGTATTAAGATTTTTATGCCAAGAATGCTGGGAAACTGGCTGGGAGATAAAAGCCCATACAAAACTCTATTTCTTAGCGCTCATGTGGCATTTTCTGACCTTATCTGTTAGTCTCTGCAGGCCTATCAGGAGCTCTAATAACTAGCTTTTTTTGCTAGATTTTTCCATTTTGAATATAAACTGCTGCTGCAGCTGTAACTAAAGTATTTTAAGCGATTTCAAAAATCAACTACTCCTTATCTGTCAGCTCTCTCAGAAGATTGCCTCCTCCGGACCTGGGAGGGACCCCAGAGCTGAATCCCACTTGACTCCCGCCCAGCCAGGGAGGCCTGAGGGTCCCCTCCACTCCTCCAACAGTCGGGGTGCCATGCACCCAAACGTTTTCTACCTCAGAGAATAAACCAGAAGAATTCCTGCCAGGCTTAGCTGCACATTTAAGATGCAATACTAGAGATTTCTGCTTGTGAGTCCCTCCCTCATTCAATCTGGAAACACCCATAACAAGAAGGGATTTTCTCCAAGGAGCCTACAATGGGAGAAAGAGCCCTCATTTGCTTCCTGGCAAAACAGCTGTGCTTTATTACTGTTTATTCGACCAGCATGTTTACGGAGGTTTCCTCTAAGCTCTTTAACACTCCGCACACTCCCCATCCTTACCTAGGTGCTCAGTTAATCTTTCCAGAGCCTGGGACCCGAGGACCAGCTAGGTGCAAGCCAGCGAAGAAATGGAGGAGCAGCGGACCTGGGCCCGCCAGTCCCTCAGAGGCCGGGGAGCGCCGCGAGGCACCGGCGTGTGGCCCACAGGTTTTATTCCAGAGTCCACTTTTTAACAGAATTTTCTCAACTTGGTTCTGGCAAAGCACATACTCTCGACCCCCTCGGAGCCCCAGACCCCGAAGGCCGCTCCGTCGGTCTGCGGAGGCAAACGCAGTGCAGTGCCCGGCCTTTCCTCATGTGCGAGATCCGGCCCCGAGCCCGGGAAACGCTGGCCGGCCGGGGTGGGAGGGCCGAAGCCCCGGTGCTCAAACTCGGGGAGAACTTTTATTTCGGCGGGGAACGTGCAGAAGCGGGTTGGGAGCCGGGACGCACAGCGGAAGGCAGCGGCGCCCTCCAGCCCAGCGGGCGGGGACACGGCGCGGGGGTCCGAGGAGAGCCGCGCCGCCCCCGCCCCGCCCGCCAGGCCGCCTTCAGAAAAAGCAGATGGCGGTGCGGCCCCCTCCCCGCGCTCCTGCGGAAGCCGACCCCCGCCGGCACTCGGCCCCGGAAGGTGCGGGGCCCATCCCGCAGGGATGTAGGGGGCACGCCGGGCAGAATTTGGGGGTCCCGGAGCGGCTCTGCGGAGCCCCCCGGGGCCGCAACCAGACGCGCGGGCGCCCGGAGCCGCCTCCCCTCCCCCACCCGCCCGCTGTCGCCGGACCCGCACCCGAAACCCTGACGAGCCTCGGCTGGGGGAGGGGACCGCGGGGGGACGGCCCGGAGTACCGAGGGCCGATCCCCGGAAGGAGGGGGAGTGAGTAGTCGGGGCGGAGCGAACAGAGCCCGCGGGCGGGGGCCGAGGGGCGGGGGCCCCGCAGGGGGAGGCGAGCTCGCCTGGGGATGGTTGGGGGGGCGACCAGGCCCAGGTCTCTGGAAAGGGTGGGGACCCCCTAAGGACGCGGGCCCCCGAGCAGCGGGGGCGGCGGGGACCGATCGGGCCTCGCGCGCAGTCAGGGGGCGGGGCGCGGGCCGCCGGGCCCGGGGGATTAGGAGGAGCGGCGGGGGCTGCTCTAAGCCAAGCCCGGTCCGAGGGGGCCCACGAGCCCCCGGGAGGGGGAAGCGGGACTCCTCCGAGAGAAGCGGGAGCACGGGGCAAGCGGAGGCTTGGACGGCGTCCCCCGGGCGGGGACGGAGTAAGCAGGCCGGCGGGGAGAGGCTGGGGGCGCCGACAGGCCGGGGGCTACCCGAGGCTGGAGAGGAGGGTCCAGGGCAGAGGAGTGGGCGCAGCAGCCCTGAGGAAAGGGCGCGGGGAGGACGCGGACGTCCGAAGAAGGGACACCGAGGCGAGGGCCAGCGGAGAGGACCGGGCGCGGGCCCGAGCAGGAGGCGGGGGTGGGGCTCCCGGGGGGCGCTGAGAGAAAGCTGGGGGAGCGGGAAGGCGGCGCTCAGGGAGACTAAGAGGCCGGATTCCCGGGGAGCACAGGATCACGGCGGAGGTGGTCGGGGGCGATCCGGGCGCAGCTCTCACTCACCTCCGGGTGGAAGGCGGCGGCGCAGGAGTCGGAGTCCATGTTCCGGGCGGGGGGCGGCGGCTGCGGGAGTGCAGGGGCCGGGATGCGGCCGCGGGGTCGCGGCGCCGCTCGGAGCTGGGGGGTCCGGCGGCTGCGCAGGGCGAGAGCGGACCCGGGAGGGGTCGCCCCGGCGGAAGGTGATGGGGGGCTCGGCGTGTCGCGTCCCGGGCTCTGTGTTCCCAGACTGGCGGCTCCACAGCCGAGCAGAGTGGGCGACGCAGCTCCCGCGGCCGGCGCGGCGGGAGAGTCGCTGCGGGGGGCGGCGGCGGCGGCGGCGGCGGCGAGCGGGAACCCGACCGGCTCCCCGACCTGACGCCCAGTTCGGCTCGTGTCTCGGGAGGGAGGGCGGGAGAGCCGCGGGGGCTGTCGGGAAATGTAGTCCGGTGGCGACAGGCAGGCGGGGGCGTGGCGCGAGCCAGGCGCGGGGCATTGTGGGGGCCGTAGTCGCGGCTCCGCCAGAGCGGCGCACAAAGGCGCCATGAGGACTCCAGCGCCCATGGGGCTTCGCGCGGCGGCGGCCGGTGTGCGGGGGCGGTGTCCTCTGGGCTCGAGGCCGCTCAAGCGGGGGTGGGGTGGGGGCTCGCGGCGGCCTGGCCCCTGGGGGGAGGGTCGGCGCGGGCGGTACCGCCTCGGTCTCCGCCGGCGCGGTTGGCCGGGGCGGCGGGGGCGGGGCTGACGGCCTTGGTCGCGAAGGGCAGCGGCGGCGGCTGGCGCCTCCTCTTTCTCCTCTCGCGCCTGGGGTTTGCGCCCCTTTGTGGGGCGGGGGTCCCCGCGGCCGGGCGGGAGTGGGGAGCGGGGGCGGGGCGCTGACGTCGCCTGGGCCGGGCGGAGCGAGTTTGTTTCCGCCGCTGCGGGTGTCCTGGCCGGCTGCTGCCCGCTCCGGGTGTCCGCGAACCGCCGGCCAATCCCCGCTGGCCTGGGGTCGGACTAGGCTCTTTCTCGTGGTGTCTGCCAGATTCGCTTTTGGGTGCCGGGTTAGTGTATTAAAAAAAAAAAAAAACTCGATACTAGCGTTGTCAGTGTCTTAAAGATGTTTGCCTTAAATTGTTTTTTTGTTTTCGCCTTCGCTTGACCTTGGGACCCCCCTCTCTTTTCTCACTTTACACCCTGAAAATATTCTTCATAGGATTACAATGGTGGAGGGTGAGGTGAAAACATGGTATGCGATGTATGGTATTGACATTTACATTCACCTTGTTTATTGACACTTAATTGACCACTGGCAGTGTTTAAATGCCAGACTACCAAGTATTTTACAACTTCATATGTTGAAGGTTGACTCTGAATACTTAGTTGATTGCCCTGATGAAATTACCAAAAGGCTGCCTGGTGTTCTTTAACATTTTTAATAACCATTTGAAAGGAAAAAATGTATATACAAAATGCAGATGATTCATTAACTTATTTGGTAGCTTCAAAGACAAACTGTTAAAGGGGAGTGACAAATTTTTTTATTTAAATCAGAAAACAGACTCTTGGACTTACTGGAACAATGAGGTTATTTGACAGAATGCTACATTAGTTGGCTGTTACTATTTCAGTGGTTAAGATAATTCTGATGAAAACATTTAGACTGGTAACGGAGTTTATCTTAGAAATGTTTCTCTGAGCCTCAGTTTCCTAAACTATAAAACTTTTAGTTAGTGCCTGGCTTAATAAATGGTAGTTTACCGTTGTTGTTGTTTTATTATTTCTGCAATAGCTGAGCCCATTGGAGGGCTCCCCAGAGGTGATAAATTGAGGTGCTTTACAAGGTAAAACAGATAAATTCCTAAGAGAAAAACAGAGATATTTTGGACTTGGCCTGTCAATACTTTATTAGCAATTTCTTACAGAATTTCAAATGATTTAGCCATGGATTTGGAATGTTCCCTGATCACTGGCCAGAGCAAATATCCTGAAGTTAGCTAGTGCTACCCAGGGTCAGATTCACCAGGAGCAACTTGTTCTGCCCGAATAAAAAAGAGCTAAGGAGGATATTATCCTTTTGGTAGTTTAAGAATGTAAATACCAAAAAGAATTATTACTAGAGTTGAAACACAAATGAAAGGAGCAAATTTTTTTACCCCTGTCATTAGTCCCTGTGGTAAATTTTTCACATAGTAAACATTAAATCCTTTCCCACACACACAGATTAAGAAACTGATTCTCAAACTTCAAATGAATTAATGAACTTGCTCAGAATAATAATGGACTTGTTGGAAAAGTAAGCCTAAAATTCAGGGACCTATATTGGACCACTAAGTCTCACTAAGCAAGGAAAATCCCAAACTTGGGTTGTCATGTGACAGATTTTCAGACCAAGTGATAACTCTTCCCCAGAGTGGGTATTCAGTAGATATTTCTGGGATATGTCCTCAGTAAACAGCAATCTTAGTACATAAGTGTGATCCAGTACCTTCCTGCCACTTCATGGAGAAAGGACTTTTTTTGTGTCTTCTTCAATTTCCCTTAGAAATTTAGACGTTAATGTTTACCATCCTTCCGTAATCTCAAAAGATGGACTACAGCCATGCAGTGTCATAGCCAATGAGGTCTACCTGAGGCACACGATTATTGCTAATTGAAAACTTTTCCCAATACTTAAAGTTGGCATTGGCAATTTTTGACAGTCTCTATGGAGACTGAACCAAAAAAAAAAAGGGGACTATAACACCAGTAGTTGACCTAAACTCAATACCATAAAATATAGCTGTGGGGTAATAAAGTTGATTTTCCCTATATGGTAGGCTAAGATTTGTTGACTATCTCTAGTTTATTTCTCAAGTGTACTGTACTACTCCTTGGGCTCCAGGGGGCGAATCGTGAATTCCTTGATTAATTCAAGAGCACTAGCCACAGTAGCCATATTCGTCTAGTGTCTAGTCTATGATTCTTTATTTTCTGGTTAAAAAAAAAAAATTATACCTGCTACTGAATGCTAATTCTCGGATGATTACAGTTGCTTAGGAGAGGTGGAAAAGAGCCAACATTAGCGCAGGTTGTGACAAGTTAAAAATACTAATACCATGGTTTCCCAGTAAGTAACTTGAGAATGTAGTTATTTTAATTGAGTTACCAAATATAGCTTCACCTTCCTAAATCTCACTGGCTACACTGCATTCATTTAGGGAACATTCCGGAAAAGCTTTCTGCTTCCATTTTAACTCTTTGTGCTTGAGTGTGGGTGTGAACATAACCAAAGGTTTATTTTTCCCAGAACAATTTTCTGATGTTTCAGCTTTTTGTTCAGCTTAATAGTATATTCTCATGAATTCTTCCCGCCCTGTTTTCTGCCTTGCTCAGTTTCATTTCCAGGAGATGGAAAAAAGTGAAAATTCCTCAAAATCGTATTGTTTTCAACTTTTGGTACCTTGACTACTGTAAGAATATATATGTCTGAATAATTTGAAAACATTAATCTCTAGACCATATATTGTCAGCTTTTCATATAGTGAGGAATGTGACTTAATGCATAGAAGAATCAAATGGGTTTCTTGTATTATGGTTCACACAAGTAGAATATAAAGGTAATAGCTAACACTATGCCAAACTGTTTAAAATGTTTTTACTTACAATATCTTTTTTTTTTTTGAGACAAAGTCTCGCTCTGTTGCCAGAGCTAGAGTGCTGTGGCATCAGCCTAGCTCACAGCAACCTCAAACTCCTGGGCTCAAGCGATCCTCCTGCCTCAGTCTCCCACCACACCCGGCCAATTTTTTCTATTTTTAGTAGAGATGGGGACTGGCTCTCACTCAGGCTGGTCTGTAACTCTTGACCTCAAGTGATCCTCCTGCCTTGGCCTCCCAGAGGCTAGGATTACAGGCGTGAGCCACCAAGCCTGGCCCCATTTACAATCCCCATTTACAATATCTCTTTTACCTATATAAATGCATTTGATAACTAGAGAATACTGTAACACTCCTTAAAGAAAAAGGTTTATATATAGTAAGTGCATTACAAGCCACACCTTAGGAGGCCCAGAATCAGAAAATATCAGGGTGGTAGCTGAGCATGGTGGCTCAAGCCTGCAGTCCTAGCTACTGAGCCCAGGAGTTCAAGGCTACCGTGAGCCAAGATCAGGCCACTGCCCTCCAACCTGGAAGACAAGGAGACCCTGCCTCTAAAAAGAAAAAATAGGCTGGGCGCAGTGGCGCATGCCTGTAAACCTAGCACTCTGGGAGGCTGAGGCAGGTGGATCGTTTGAGCTCAGGAGTTTGAGACCAGCCTGAGCAAGAGCAAGACCTCGTCTCCACTAAAACTAGAAAGAAATTGGCCAAACAACTAAAAATAGAAAAAATTAGCCAGGCATGGTGGCGCATGCCTGTAGTTCCAGCTACCTGGGAGGCTGAGCAGGAGGATCGCGTGAGCCCAGGAGTTTGAGGTTGCTGTGAGCTGGGCTGATGCCATGGCACTCTAGCCCGGGCAACAGAGTGAGACTCTGTCCCAAAAAAAAAAAAGATATTGTAAGTAAAAACATTTTAAACAGTTTGAAAAAAGAAAAAAAATCAGCGTGTGTAATAGGGAAAAAGGCACAATCATGGTATTTACAACTAATTGATCACAACCAGTTACAGATTCCTTTGTTCCTTCTCCACTCCCACTGCTTCACTTGACCAGCCTCAAAAAAAAAAAATTTTAAAAAAAGGCACAATCATTTCCGACTCTATAAATACTAAGGTACGAGTTCCTAAATATTCTCAAAGGAAAAAAAGAGGCTAATAGCTTAGCAACTTTTAAAGTGATCTCAGTCACCTTTTGATCCATCTGCCCAAAATTAGAATTCAAATATCAAAATTAAGTAGTTTAAATTTTTAGAATTAGGCCGGGCATGGTGGCTCACGCCTGTAATCCTGGCTCTCTGGGAGGCTGAGGCGGGTGGATTGTTTGAGCTCAGGAGTTCGAAACCAGCCTGAGCAACAGCGAGACCCCGTCTCTACTAAAAATAGAAAGAAATTAATTGGACAACTAGAAATATATAGAAAAAATTAGCCGGGCATGGTGGCGCATGCCTATAGTCCCAGCTACTCGGGAGGCTGAGGCAGTAGGATCACTTGAGCCCAGGAGTTTGAGGTTGCTGTGAGCTAGGATGATGCCACGGCACTCTAGCCCGGGAAACACAGTGAGACTCTGTCTCAAAAAAAAAAAAAAAAAAAAAAAAATTTTTAGAATTAAAGAGTACCATTATAGGCTGGGTGTGGTGGCTTCATGTCTGTAATCCCAGCATTTTGGCTGAGGTGGGAGGATTGCTTAAGGCCAGGAGTTCGAGACCAGCCTGGGCAACATAGCAAGACCCCTGTCATCTCTATAAAAAATAGAAAAATTGACCAAGAATGATGGTGCACGTCTGTAGTCCCAGCTACTCAAGAGGCTGAGGCAGGAGGATTGCTTGAGCCCAGGAGTTTGAGGCTGCAGTGAGCTCTCATGATGCCACTGCACTCCAGCCTGGGCAACACAGTGAGAACCTGTCTCTAAAAAAATACATAAAATAAATAAATAGAACCATTATTTGTTAAATCACATTATCACACATTAAATCACATTATCTTTTTTTTTTTTTTTGAGACAGAGTCTCACTCTCTTGCCTGGGCGATCCTCCTGCCTCAGCCTCCCGAATAGCCGGGACTACAGGCATGCACCACCGTGCCCAGCTAATTTTTTCTATATTTAGTTGTTTGGCCAATTTCTTTCTATTTTCAGTAGAGATGGGGTCTCGCTCTTGCTCAGGCTGGTCTCGAACTCCTGAGCTCAAGCAATCCTCACACCTCGGCCTCCCAGAGTGCTAGGATTACAGGCGTGAGCCACTGCGCCCGGCCAAATCACATTATCTTAAACAAGTTATTTAGGCAAAGAGCATTTTTATTATTTTAGAATAAACTTCTAAAATGTTTATGACTGAAGTTTATAAATACAAACATTTCCCCATAAACTACTACTCATTTGGCAGAGTTAACATCATCCTCAGCAAACAATAGTGTTTCCACCGCACCATTGTGTTGGATGATCTTGGAAGAGTTTAAATCACCTTAATTAATACAGTTAGCTGATTATATAGATGGCATTGTCATACTGAGTTCAATGAGTTTCTCGCATTCTAATTTTGAACTCATGAGATTGACAAGCAAAAAGAGGAATTAAATAGTATGCCTGGGTTAGTAGGTTATTTTAAATTCCAGACACAGCTGATAGGTCTAAATCTGTTCCCTTCTTTTCTAACCACGTTCCTTTATTCACTTAACTATATATACACATGGTCTCAAATGCTTGCCTGTTAAGTCCGGGATATCAAAAATACTTTTCTCAAGAACTGAAATTTAATTTTATTTTGAATTTATTTTAATACACAGGTTTTGTATGTTTAGTACAGAAAGAAAATGCATGCAAGCAAAAACAAAATGAACCTTCCAACCTAGAAAAAATGTTAACTTCACAATTTGTTTCTAGGCATATGAACACATATAACAAATTGGGTAATCCGATTGATTTTTCACTTAACACTATAGTGTGAACATCTTTCCATTTCAATAAATATCTACATCATCATTCTTCAAGCCTTACATAGTAAGGCTAAAACATGATGCTTAAATAACACCCTGTTAGGAATACAAAAAACCCACTCAGTTCTCAACTACAGAAACATTACAGATTTAAGCACTGGATTTTCACAAGGTGGATGAGCTGACCCTGACGGACTATAGTTTTTTTTCCCTACAAACATCCCACTTCCTGGCAACTCAGACTTTCTTGTCACAAAGCCTGTGCAAGTAAGCTATTGGCTGGGCTCCTGGGCCAAGGAATGCTGCCGCTGCTGTTAATAGCTGTGCGAACAGTCCTTCTATGGGCAACAGGCTGCCCGCCTGGGTACCTGAATGTTTTCTTACTTGGGCCTGTGCTTCCCATGCCGACCCTGAAATTTAGACCAGATGCATTCTCAGGGGAAGACGACGTGGGATTCTCAAGTAGAAGAGAAAGCCTACAGTTCTCATGTCGGAGAGGGAATAAAAACAAAATGTCTTCTCCAAAGGCTGTGTCGACCTAGCCAGAATCAAGGAATGACAGCCACGTCCCAGGGTGCCTGGCCTGCCCTGAGACCCACGTGGGCCGGCGCCTTCATCAGGAATACCTTTATAAAGACCCCCAGGCTGCGGGTGGGGCTGGTCCTCTGCAAAACAGAACTGAAGGTGAAATTGGGGTTTCTCTAAAACTGAGCAAAGCGTACCTTAAACTAAAGAAAAAATGGCTTCCAAGTGAGGAGTCTTTTTTTTTTTTTCTACAGTTACGTTGAAAGTGGTACTGTTATCTATTGGAACCAAAATGAGGGAGATTCCTTCCTTCCTCCAATATGGCACAGGGACTGTCACTCTGTTGAATGGCCTCGTCTTCTAGTGTTTTAGGCAGTCCCCGTCTGACCTTGAGCTGACACTCTCCGCACCGTAGTACTCCTCTCATGGAACAGGAAAACCTGCTCCAGGAAGGCCACCGTGCCCCCCAGCAGGCCTGCCCCCTTGGGCGGACAGCTCTGGAGCCTGAAGTGGCGTCTCTGACTTAGAAACTAAAACTATGCCTCCTAAGCAGACAAAAGTTAATGACTGTGTTGTGGAGTTTGAAAGTCCTGCAGGAACCGCGGGGCTGATCCTGAATCTGGCCCGGTGTCACTTATGAATGCGCCAGGAAAACAAAGTCACCGAAAAACCTTATACTTGTTCGTGCTTTGGTCTTTGAATTGTAAAAATCTTATCGTTTGAATCTGTCCCGTGACAGGGTTATCTAGCAACCCTAGAAAGGAGCGGAACTCAAAAACAAAAACAAAGCCTTCCTACCAAGCTGCCCAGGGGCTCCGGGGCTCCTGCAGTTGGGAAATCTGGCGCGAAAGGGGGTGGCTTCGGTTTAGGGCGCCGCGCTTGCCTCGCCCGGATTTCGTTCGGCAGCCGGGCCGGGGAGGGTGGCGGGCAGGCCCCCGGGCCCGCGCGCAGCGGCGCCTCCCTCGGAACTGGCACTTGTCACCCGCCATCCCCGCTCAGGCGTCAGCGGGAGGCGGCAGGAAGCCCGGGGAGGGCGGAGGGAGGGAGGGACGGAGGGAGGGAGCGAAGCGCGGGCGGCGGTGACTCAGCCGGGGGAGCCCGGGGCGGGCGGCCCACGCGGGGGAGGCCGGCCCGCGCGCTAGGGCCGGCGGCCGGACGGGCGGCGCCGCCGGGCCCGGAGCGGTTAAGTGGGCGGCAACCCGCTCCGCCCGGGCCCGCCCCCCGGAGGCCGCGGCGCCCAGACGTATTTATAGCGACGATGCCGGGCGCGCCGCGTCTCTCCGCAGGCCACGGCCGCGGCGTCCCAGGTCCCCGCAGCCCAGGCACCATGGAGCGGCCGGCGCCCCTGGCCGTGCTGCCCTTCTCGGACCCTGCGCACGCCCTGAGCCTGCTGCGCGGCCTGAGCCAGCTCCGCGCCGAGCGCAAGTTCCTGGACGTGACCCTGGAGGCGGCAGGCGGGCGCGACTTCCCCGCGCACCGCGCCGTGCTGGCGGCCGCCAGCCCCTACTTCCGCGCCATGTTCGCGGGGCAGCTGCGCGAGAGCCGCGCCGAGCGGGTGCGCCTGCACGGAGTGCCGCCCGACATGCTGCAGCTGCTGCTCGACTTCAGCTACACGGGCCGCGTGGCGGTGAGCGGCGACAACGCCGAGCCGCTGCTGCGCGCCGCCGACCTGCTGCAGTTCCCGGCCGTGAAGGAGGCGTGCGGCGCCTTCCTGCAGCAGCAGCTCGACCTGGCCAACTGCCTGGACATGCAGGACTTCGCCGAGGCCTTCAGCTGCGCGGGGCTGGCGAGCGCGGCTCAGCGCTTCATACTGCGCCACGTGGGCGAGCTGGGCGCCGAGCAGCTGGAGCGGCTGCCGCTGGCGCGCCTGCTGCGCTACCTGCGTGACGACGGGCTGTGCGTGCCCAAGGAGGAGGCCGCCTACCAGCTGGCGCTGCGCTGGGTCCGGGCCGACCCGCCGCGCCGCGCCGCGCACTGGCCGCAGCTGCTGGAGGCCGTGCGCCTGCCCTTCGTGCGCCGCTTCTACCTGCTGGCGCACGTCGAGGCCGAGCCTCTGGTGGCGCGCTGCCCGCCCTGCCTGCGCCTGCTGCGCGAGGCGCGCGACTTCCAGGCAGCGCGCTACGACCGCCACGACCGCGGGCCCTGTCCCCGCATGCGCCCCCGCCCTTCCACGGGCCTCGCCGAGATCCTCGTGCTCGTGGGCGGCTGCGACCAGGACTGCGACGAACTGGTCACCGTCGACTGCTACAACCCGCAGACGGGCCAGTGGCGCTACCTGGCCGAGTTCCCCGACCACCTGGGCGGGGGCTACAGCATCGTTGCGCTGGGCAATGACATCTACGTGACAGGTGAGTGGGCTGGGGGTTGGCCTGCTCCCCCCGGGGTGGGGGGCGGAGCCCACCTGCCTTTCGGGAGAAACAGGACCTGGAATCCGAGGGCCGCTCCTGAGTCCAAGCTGGGAAACGGGTGCCTGTGCTACCTGAGATGATACTTTCAACCTTGAAGAAAGACCCCTTGTGTGAGCGGGGACAGGTAGCTGCTTGTGGGTCTCTGCCCCATGAGGCCGGGCCTGCCAGGCTGAGCCAACTCCCTGCCCCGCAGGTGCCTCCCCCCATGTGGTTGAAAGGCACTGGGACATTCAGCCCGCACAATGGGCGCTTTCTTTTCTCCTTAAGGAATCCAGGACTGGGTGGGAGGCTGACGCCCAGTGAGGCATCCCTTCCCCATAGGGGATTTCTCCCTCCCTGCTGGGCCCCGTGGCTCCTGACTCACTCTTTGTCACCGCTGACAAGGTTCCCTTGGACTTGCACCTAGGCTCTGTGCTGTGGTCACATGGCGTTTAGGCTGAGCTAGCCAGCAACTGTAAACAGGGTCACATGTTCAGAGATTTTCTTCCAGTTACTTGGCCCAAACCCCAAAACACTGCCAAGTCATGGTGGGCGGGTCCCAGCCTGCCTGATTCTTAGGCTTCTCCTACATTTTTTATTAAAGATGAATCCTAGTTCAAGCATGAGCTACCTCCTTCCCAGGGGCAAGGAGGGGCGGTCTCTGTGACTGCTATATAAGGAAAGAACCGGCCAGGCAGGCATTGGAGGCTCTGTTATCACACCAGGAGCTAGGGATGGGTTATCACAGCCACTGTGCCCCACCAGGCACGTCGGGACAAAGCCCACTCTGTGACATGCTCCAGCGTTCCAGTGGGGCTCTCACCTGACAAGGGGGACACGTCCCAGCCCAGGGAAATCCTTGGCCCTCTGGCCACAGCTTCCTTGGCCTGATCCAAGTTCAGCCTCTGCCCGCGAGTACCTCGAGGTTGTCCCCATGTTGGTTGTGGACTGTCATCGTCATCCCCCCCACCATGCCCCAAGTCTGGCCAATGACTTTGAGCAGAGAACTCCTTCCCAGAACTGGCCAAACTCGCCCCACTTCCTGCACACCCTTCCATAAATGTCATAGCTGAGCAGTTAATCCTTTGGGTTTAGGCAGGTGGCTGGGTTATTCCATCCAGCTGCCCGTAGGGAATTTCAAGGGGGCGAGAAAGCTGGCTTCAGCTGCCTTCCACACAGTTCTGTTTTGGAAGGGAGGCCATCAGAGTGACTTTATAAAAGGTTTGTTGTAGAATGTCATGTCTGCTCCATCCTGTGGCGCCAGCCTCGGAGGCCAAGGGGTGCAGCCCCGGAATTTGTGGGGTCCCTCACACTGTGGGGATTCTCATATCCTTAATAGATACAGTATAATTTATGATTACAGCCAGTACTGTTTTATTTATTTCACTTTTTATTGAAATAAAAATACAAGTATATATATCACACTTGTACAGCTTGGTGAATTTTTCCAAACAAAACACACCTTGTAACCTGGACCAAAGTCAAGGGCTAGAAGCCCAGAAGTGCCCTGTAGCATTGTGTTAAGTCTCTCGCTTACAGAAATGGATTCCTCTCATCTCGTCCTGGCACAGCCTTGGTTAGAGGGTGCCCAGGAAGCCTAGGATTTGGTGACATGCCTGTGGCTCCCCAGGAGAGCTACCCCTGAGGCCTGATGCTCTGGTCCGCTTGAGATGTCTGTATGTGGAGGGATCCAGATGGAGGCTGCGCCCAGGGCCTTTGCTGGGCCGGCAGAGGTGGGCACAGTCACCTTGCTGGCAGTGGTCAGCGTGTGCATTGCCTCAGCCACAGCATGGAGCTTCTGGCCTGGGCTTTGGGGAGAGAAGATGTGAGTTTAGGGAGAGGCCCTCGCAGAAGCTCAGGAAGGCACGGCAGGTGACTCACCTGAGTGGGCTGACGGTCTGCCCATTGTGCATCCTGGCAGGTGGGTCCGATGGCTCCCGGCTCTACGACTGCGTGTGGAGGTACAACTCGAGTGTGAACGAGTGGACGGAGGTGGCGCCCATGCTGAAGGCCCGGGAGTACCACAGCTCCTCTGTGCTGGACGGACTGCTGTACGTGGTGGCCGCCGACAGCACGGAGCGCTATGACCACACCACCGACTCCTGGGAGGCCCTGCAGCCCATGGCCTACCCCATGGACAACTGCTCCACCACCGCCTGCCGTGGCCGGCTTTATGCCATCGGCTCCCTGGCCGGCAAGGAGACCATGGTGATGCAGTGCTACGACCCGGACACTGACCTGTGGTCACTGGTGGACTGTGGCCAGCTCCCGCCTTGGTCCTTCGCCCCCAAGACTGTGACTCTGAATGGACTCATGTACTTTGTCAGGTGAGTCCCCGGTGCCTGGTCTGCCACGTGTGTGGTATTTCTCACCAGGTCCTGTGCTAAGGATGTCAGCACTGTTCTCCCCACTTCACAGATAAGGAAACTGAGGCCAAGCTGGGATCAGGGGCTGGGACTTTCTGACCCCAGGGTGCTTGTTCCACCCCTTTTCTCACAGCAGTTCTGGGTTTTCTTAGTCGAACCATCCCAAGAGTGATGGAGTTAGGTTCTTTGAGGAAAAGGGCTTAGCTGCATCCTGTCAGCACAGAGCAGAGACAGGCAGACAGTGGGTCACTGTATCTGCTGGTCTTGCGGCCTGTCTGTCACAGCCAGATGCCCCTCCTGACTGGGCAGCGAGCATCTGGGAGGGGCCAGGAGCCCCCTGTCTGCTGCTCACTGTTGTGGGCCTGTTCACGGCTGCTGCTCCCTCCCTGGCCTAGAACCTGCCTTGAAGCTGCAGGGCCAGGAGGGAAGGAGAAGGAATGGATGATTGACGGTACCCTCTGTGCCCTTCTGGCGTGGGCTTTTTTTTCCCCAGGGTACAAGTGCTTTGATTACATAAATTGCCTTTGCACTGCCCAACTGTTCTGGGGGTTTGACCTGGGAGCCTTGGAGGATGTGTGCTCTGTCTGCCTAAGCAGCACTGGCCTTTCTCTGCCCCACCCCGAGACAATAGGCTCCTCCCCAAGTTGCTTGTCACCCAGGTGGCTGTGGGGGGGCCATATCATCTTATGCTAGTAAGCAACTGCTCTGAGAAAGCCCTGGAATTTCTGCCAGCTCTGGTCCCATTAGAAGACATCCTCTGACCCTTCACCCAGCTCTTCCTAAGTCATGGAGGTGTCTTCAGAAAGGGGCGGAGATGGCTATAAATACAACCTGTCAGAGTGCCAGAACCTTCACTGCAGCCCCAGCAGGCCGTGGTTCATGCCAAGTGCCTTTGAGAAGGCCCCCCACCCCAGCAGCCTGTGCCCAAGGACAGCAGCCTGTGCCCAAGGGCAGTCACCAGCTTGGAGGCATTTGGGGGCCCCCAGGCCCCTGTTAGCCTTCGCACGTGGGTGGGAGGAGCGAATGCTCTGGAAAGGTTTCTCCCACCAATGTGACCTGAGGGGAAGGAGAAGGTCCCGGGAGCGGGGGCAGGGCCTGGGCGGGGCCCTTCAAGTGTTTGTCCCAGTGCTGCCCTGTGTGTGCACTTCAGCTCTTCAGGAACCTCACAGCCCCCTGCCTGGAATGCCACCTATTTTGAGTGGCTCCCGGATGAGCTGTCCTCAGGGAGGCAGCCTGTGCTGGGTGGGGGCCACAGCCCCAGCGTCCTCCTTGTCACCAGTGGAGAGACTGCTGTCATGGGCCTCCTTCCCCCACAGTGCCCTGTCTTGGGTGAGGCACAGGCGGCCCCCTAGCGGGGGTGCAGAGCCCGCAGAGGAGGAGTGGGGTGCACCGCCCAGCCCGGTGGTCTGCCTGCGGCTTGCGTGTCTGCTGGGAAAGCGGGGAGGGACGGCCCCGCCAGTATTTAATGATCCAGCCACAAACTGTAAAACTGGTTTTACACTTTGAGATGATCGGTGGGGGGAATGAAGACGAGTAACATTTCACAGTGCAAAGTTATGAGAGAGTCAGATTTCTGTGTCCACGAATGAAGTTTCGTTGGAACGCGCCAGCCTCCTCGTGGCTGACCTTGCGCTGCAGTGGCAGCGTCCAGTACTCGTCTGGTCCACGAAGCCTAAAATACTCACTGTCTGGCCCTTTTGCTAGCCCCTGTCCTGTGATCATCATTATGTCTGTTACTTTTTTTTCCTTGTATCTTTGCTTTTCAAGGCTGTGTCTTTGAGCCTTTCACTGTGGGGGTGTGAAGGGGGGCGTTGCTGGGTCTTCGTTCCTGTAACTGAACTTAGCCTGCCGGGCACCGGGGACACAGCAGTGAATGGGACAGCGTTGGGGACTCACAGGGATGTTGGGGACAGTGGCAAGGAGTGGTCCAGGGCACATGGCCTGAAAAGGTGGCTGAGGTCAAAATCGGGAGGAGGAGCAGGAGGCTGGGGTAGGGTGGGTGGTTCGAAGTCTGAGGTGGGAAGGAACATGGTCCTGGCAAGATCTGAAGGGTGCCACCGTGGCCACAGTGGGGCAGGTGCTAGAGGGTGGCAGGTGCTGACAGGCTCCGGGCACCCAGGCGCCTGACCTTTGGGTCTGGGGAGTGAGGCTGGGTTCTGGCCTTGGTGCCTGGAACAGGCCCCTGAGGGCAAGGGAGCTGCCATGGCATCAGCAAACCCAGGTCAAAGGAGGTGGCCTTGAGGGTGTCGGCTGCAGCCTCACCCCAGGGGCTTCCTCCTCGCTCTGACCAGCTGTCCTCCCCTCCGCAGGGATGACTCCGCCGAGGTGGACGTGTATAACCCGGTGAAGAACGAGTGGGACAAGATCCCGTCTATGAATCAGGTAAATTTGCAGACACGTGAGTGTCAGAAGCACAGGCTGGTCCTGTTTTTGCAACCAAAGTGTCGTCATGAGTGTTTGGGACCCACAGCTGTGGTGGCTGAGGCCTGTGGGGAGCTCTCTCTAGTGTCACCGCAATCAGTAGAAGGCTGGGGTTACCCTCCTTTTGTACTTGAGGCTTGCTGAGACACACATACGCTAAATAGGATCCAGGATCACACAGCTTACGGAGCTGTATTTATTGAGCACCTATTATGAGCCAGACAGCAGGAGGGGAGAGAACCAGCCAGTCACCTGGAAAGTGTCCCTCAGAGGGACAGCAACTACAAAGGCCCTGGGGCAGGGGGCCCTGGTGTGTTCCGTGGGATGGCCAGCAGTCCAATGTGGCTGTAGCAGAGGGGATGATAGCAGGCAGGAGTCTTTGGGGACTGACCTTGGGATTACATTTATTGAGCACCGGCTGTGTGCTCTGAACAGGGTCTCCCCTTCTCTGCTTGTTGAGAAGAGAGGCGCTGGGCCTGGCAGTGTAACGGTGTGGAGAGAGTCAGTGGCGTTTGGCCACGCGGGCAATCTTGTTAGCCCCAGACACACATCTGCACCTGCCCACGCCTTGTTTTCTGTCTTCTAACATTCCCAAACCTATCTTGTGATAGCTGACGACATGGTGTACAGCACAGCCAAACATCCTTATGTTTAGGAGATATAACTTGGTATTTCTCCACCGTGCTCATCATAGCAAATTTGGAAAAGATGGAGTCACCGTCCTGTGGTTGGGAGCCCAGGCCTTGGGTCCAGTCCCAGCTCTGCCACTGTCAGCCACGTGAGCCTCAGTGTTCCCATCCCTAGGCGGAGAGGACAGTAGTGCCCACCCCAGAGGGCCGTTGCAGAGGTTCCAAGGGTAACGTAAGGAAGCACTGGGCACGGCCTGCACGCGGGGGGAGCCGGTGGTGCAGTGGCCGCCTGACCACCATAGGACAGGGTCACCTGCCAGACCCAGGCCTGGGGAAGCCCCCTGTTCTCTCAGTTGAGGTGTAGGGAGGGCACTGGCACGTCCTCTGTCTCCAGGGAGTGCCAGGGCTGCCCTCTGGGGGGCGCTGACTAGGCATGCCTTGTCTCCCACGGTCCCTGGGCTGCTGACCTACTCACCCATCCCCTTGGCCCACAGGTGCACGTGGGGGGCAGCCTGGCCGTCCTGGGAGGGAAGCTGTATGTCTCTGGGGGATATGACAATACATTTGAACTCTCGGACGTGGTAGAGGCGTATGACCCAGAGACTCGGGCGTGGAGCGTGGTGGGGCGGCTCCCAGAGCCCACCTTCTGGCACGGCAGCGTCAGCATCTTCCGCCAGTTCATGCCCCAGACCTTCTTGGGCCGGCGTGGCTTCGAGCTGGACAGTGGCAATGACATGGACGCAGGCCGACACCGGCCACCGCAGAACCCAGAGGAGCTGCACTAGCCCCGGCCTGGCCCAGTGAGGGCCTCGGTGCAGGTAACCATCACCTCCTCAGGGACAGTGACCCCGCCTTGTGCACGAGCACAGGCTCTGGGTGGCTGAGCGAGTCCTAGGATCCATCGCCTGGATGGTTCCTGTGCTTTTGGAGCCTGAGTCACAGCTGCCGGCACCAAAGCCGGTTGTGAATGCCCCCCTCAGTTGAGAAGGAGCCACCTTGCTGCCAGCACGTGTCTCTGGCTCCCAGAGGTCACCCCCAGCCTGCAGACCCCCAGCTCACTCATGCGACACACACCCCTCCTGCTGCCGCCACCTGCGCCTGCTTGCTCCCACCTTGGGAGAGGAGACAATGTGGGGGTGACGAGTGAAGGGGAGGGGCTTTCCGTGAGGTGCTGAGAATGGCCTGGAGCATCACTGGTCAGCAGACATTGGCCAGCTGCGGCCCTGTGTCCAGTGCCAGGCGTCCCGGTGAGCCAGCTCCCTAGACAGGGTGGGGGTCTTTCCGCCTAGCTCCTGGCATCTGCCAGGGGCTCACCCCAAGTCACCTTACAGGGTGGGCCTCCCAGAGCTCGAGCACAGGCAGAGGGACTGAGCAGGAACTTCAAGGGGTGCAGAGGGGTCTGCTGAGTTTCCTGTCTCCTGAGGACATGCCGTGGCAAATGCTGCGTCTGCCCCGCTAGTGCGTCCTCACCTGGCCTGGAGACTTCCGCTGGGCCTTCATCCCAGGCCAGTGAAGGAGAGAGGGTGGAAGCCTGCATTGCAAAGCTGTAGCTCCTTCCTGGGAGGCCCCGTGGGTCCATCACTGATGGTCAGCTCAGCAAACAGCTGCAGGCGCCGAGCTTGAGAGTCAAGTCCTGTTGCTTCCAATGGAGCCCTGGGCACGGCTGGCCCTGGTGGTTGGTTCCAAGGTTTGAAATGCTTGCAGTTTGACCATTAAAAGAGGGAAAAGAGAGCTAGAACCAGGGTCAGCTTTGTTTGATTTCCAAACCCACAAAGTGCCATTGCCAAAGCCACTGCAGGAGATGCTCCCAGGGAAGTGCCACGGCGTGGGGACTCCTGGTTTTCTCTTGGAAGCAGGAGGTTTCCAGGGATTGGGTGGTTTGGGCCCCTCAAAGTACCCACAGTAGACTGCATGAATTTGTCCTTCCTTCCCTTGCTAGAGAAGAGGATGTTTAGGCTGCATTTCCTTATTAGAGAAAATGAAAGCAGATGTTTATTAAGTTGCCTTTTCTTAGTAAACTAACTTGTGGAGTTGTGCTCTCACCAGGAAAAACATAGTTTTAGCACCATCACTTAACAAGTTGCACTTAAAACCCTTTCACCAGCCAGATGGCATGGGTGGTTGCCTTAATTTCTCCCAGGACACCACGCAGGGCTGCAGGTGGCCCTGCCTTGCCTCTGTGTGCTCCTGAAGAGCCCCAGTACACTGTCACGCACTGTGGATCTCGTCCCAGAGCCCCCAGCTGGCGCGGTCACAGCCCATAGCAGCCCTTCCTCCTTCATTGGGTCTTCACACATCGGTCATGACCAAGCACCTGCTGTGTGCCAGGCACTGGCGGGCAGGACAGTGGGACAGCACTGTCTCAGCTGTGGTTCCCGCGGGCCACGTGGAACCCCTCTCGCCTCCATGCTTGCTTTATGCCTGGGGCCTTTCCCTGGGTGCCAGCGAGCAGGGCCCAGCTTGCCTGCTCTGTCCGTTGCTCCCTGGGGGCCTCCTAGTCTGAGAATGGTCCTTTGTCCCTACCAGCCCTAGAATTCCCTCCCACAGCCTCACTTAGCTTTGTAGCTGCTGAGTCCCTGAGAGGTGGTTCTTGCTCTCTGGGATGGCTCGTCTCCTGTTAGCAGCAGAGTGTGGCAGGGCACTGCGCTGGGTGCCAGAGAAAACATACCCTGTCCGGTCTGTGACGACCACTGTCACAGCCTCCCAGGGGAGGCTGGGCTGGGAGGCCTTGATCCTGTCGAAGAGCTCTGGGTTCCTGCTCCTTTTGCTGCTCTGCCATGGCCGGCAGCACTCAGTGAGGCCTTTGGTGTGGGCCAGTGCAGGAGAGATGGGCTTGGCTCTGTGCCCCCGTCCTGCTGTAATGTCCTGACCGCCTGCAGGTGCCCTTACCCTGACTTTAGGACAGATTCTGGGCCACCTGGGGATGGGGCTGTCCCTGTGTTACACGTACAGAACTTTCATCTGTCTACAAATTAAATTATGAAGATTCACTATTTAATACTGCCCTACTATATTCTGTATTTATATGACTTCAGAGACTCCTGTGATAAAGGACACCCTCCCTGCAGTGTCCAGCATCTGGTCCTGCCCCAGAGAGTAGGGCGGGTGTGCGTATTTATTTTTGTCTGCTCTGTGGGCTTACGTGTCTGGAATCCTGCTTAATGTCTTAGGATGCCTTTAATACTTTTTCAAATAAAGATATTTCCTATACATTTGGTGTCACTGCCTTTGTCCTCCTGCTGCTGTGTCCTCTGGGCATTCTTTGGGCTGAGGGCAGGTGTTGGGGAAGTGGGGAGCAGCGCGGAGGGGCCCTGTACATAGCGGAAGGGGACAGTTTGGTGAGAACAGGCGCATGCTGGAGGTCTGAGGAGTCTGCCATTTACAAAGGCCTCCAGGCCCCTTTCCCATTTCAAATCCTTACAAAACACGGAGAGGCCTGGAAAGTGCGGGGGTTCGTGGTGACATCGCTTCACCTGCCTGTTCCTGGCTTCAGCCCCATTGGTGCCCCGCCCAGTGCTCGGCTCCTGAAGCCCTCCCTCCCGAGGAAATAGTGCATGGTGGCGCACAGTGGCGTGAGACTCCCACCTGTAGCAGGGAGATAGAGCCCTTCAACGAAGGAGGACCCCGAGCCAGGCTGCGAGTCCACACTAGCCGTCAGGCTTGGGACAGTGCTCATATCTGCAGAGCCCGTCTGAACCTGAAGAGAGGCCAGCCTCTGGGCTGGGAAGGGAAGCAAAATTTTGAGGCTAGAGTTTGCCTCTTTATAAACGAAGAGATGGCGTTTGCCTTTGTTAACACTCTTCCCAAAACAGATCGGAAGCAGCTCACGACCTACGTAGGAAAGTCAGTCAGAAACCTGGGGTGTCAGTTCCTACACTTGAGTCCTGTCCTTACCTCTGAGCTCCCAATGGTCAAGGAATAAAAGGAGAAATATGGTAGATAGCTTCTGGGTATAAAACAGGAGAAACTTTTCCCTAGCCCCCAGCTCTAGCAGGAATTCAGCACAGGGGAATGGTGTCCCAGGAGTCCTCCCGTGATGGGATGTAACAGTGCCTGGCCCTGCGTTACTGGGGTCACGACCATCATCACCAATGATCCAGAACTTACTCTGTGGGTGGAGCAGTTTTTAAATGTGTTCATAAATTCTTTCAGATCCCTCCCATCAAATGGTAGGGGGAGGTCTATGTCCCCTTACTTTGAATCAGGGCAGTGACTTTTGGTGACTACCTCAACCAACAGGGTATGGCAGAGGTAACACCACATGACTTAAGGGCTGGGTCATAAAAAGGCCTTGGCTGGGCACAGGGGCTCACACTTACAATCCTAACACTCTGGGAGGCCAAGGTGGGAGGATCACTTGAGCTCAGGAGTTTGAGACTAGCAAGGGCCAAGACCCTGTCTCTACTAAAAATAGAAAAATTAGCCAGGTGTGGTGGTACACACCTGTAGTCCCAGCTACTTGGGAGGCTGAGGCAGGAGGATCCCTTGAACCCAGGAGTTTGAGGTTGCAGTGAGCTATGATAATACCATGGCACTCTAGCCTGGGTGACAGAGTGAGACTCTGTCTTAAACAAAAAAGCCTTGCAGCTTTGACCTGCTTTGGGGACTTTTGCTCTTGGAACCCAGCCACCATGCTGTGCAGAAGCCCAAGCAGCCTAAGGAGAGGCACCCAGGGCCCCAGTCCATAGCCAGCACCAACTTGCCAGGCACGTGAGGGAGCCATCTTGAGACGCAGACTCCCCAGCCCCCAGATAAGTTTTGGGGTGCTGTATTATTCAGTCACAGGTAACGTAATACTTGCCTATGAAGCATGTACTAATTCCATTAAAAGAAGAAAGAAATGAAGCAGTTAGTACCTTGCTCGGTCACAGAACTACAAATAAAGGAGTTAGGAACAAATTTAAACACAGGCTATCTGCTCTAGAACCCACGTGCTTTTCCTCCATGGCACACGGCACCCCCATGGCTGTCGAACCCGCCGACCACCAAGGTGTCTCACCATTCAAGGCCTGGCCTCACCTGCACCCCGGGTCACCTCGACATGCAGACCAGGCTAGGTCCTCCCAAGGGAAGGGTGCCCTCTGTGGGCGTGCCCGGACCCAGAGCCTGCTTAGCCACGAGCCCTCCTCAGGCACCCAGGCGTGCTCCGCTACTAACTGGGCCTGAGTCTTGACTTTGGCCAGCAAGGCCATCATCGTGGGCCCTGGCCACCCCGCTTTGACTCCAGAGGCTGAGTGGTGAATTCTGCTCCCACTAGCTGGCATCCCCCTGAGCTCTGAGAGGAACACCACTGCTCTACTGGCCAGTAATCCCAGTTCTAAAAACCAGGAAGAATGAGGAGCAAAGTGTAGGCATAAAGAGAGGCCAGGGCCACAGGCTCGGCCCCCAAACCTGATGCGCCTGAGTCTCGCTCAGCTGAGGTCTCCCGACGAGTGGGCAGGCCCCACTCCATCCTGGGGCACGGTGGGAAAGCAGCGCTCTGCTAGAGTCCAGCTCTGTGGCTCCAGGGTACTGGGGAACAGACAGCTGGACAGGCTAAAATAAGTGAGTCCAAAGCCACGTGGTTTATTGGGGGCCAAGTGGGCTCAGTTGGGCAGGGTGGGCTACGTGTCGCAGTCCTCAGGGACGGCAGCCGTGATGATGAGTGAGGGTTCCAGGACACCCGGGCTAGTGAAGCTGTCCTCTGCACACAGTCTCTGGCTGGGGAGCTGGGAGGCCAGGCCACCCTGGGCCAGGGACTCCACAATGACCTCAGCCGAGCCCACCTCCAGCTCTGCAGGCGGCTGAAGCGCCACCACCACCATCTTCTCGTCCTCAATGACCAGGTTTCGGAGCTTGCGCTGCCGTGGGTTGTAGTTCTCCACCCGATCGTGGATCTCCATGTGTCTTCGCAAGTGGGCCTGGGGGAAGGGGGAGCTCAGGACGGGCGAGAGCCTGGGGGAGGAAAGAGGGCCCGGGCCAGGCCTACCTGCCGCGTGAACTTGTAGCCGCACTCCGTGCACTCGAACTTCCTCACGCCCTTGTGCCGTCTGACGTGCACGCGCAACTGCTCCACAGCTGCGGGAACGAAGCACCACCAGCATTAGGGGAGGTGGGAGCACCATGGGGATCGCCCTGAGATGAGCCCAGGAGCCCAGAGCCCACGTGGACATGCGGCAGGAGGCTAGGACAGAGGCAGCAAGGAGGTGGCCAAGCAGTCAGCAGGGGTTTCTTTCTTTCCACTGTCCTTGGGGCCAGTGCCATCCCAGGGCTGCTGCTGCACAGGATGCCCCCCGCCCCACCATGGCAAAGCAGCTCCACTCTCATCTCTTCAGGGCACAGGGGAGGGAAGAGATTCACTGGCAAGAAGGTTCTGCTGCTAGGAACGAGCGTTTGAAAGCCACTGTTGCGCCCACCTCCCTCCCAAAGATGCTCCACTCAGGTCAGTGGGAAACGGAGATGGCCCAGCCCCCGGCTTCCCCCAGGGCTTGTCCAGGTACCTTTGAAGGTCTTGCCACAGATCTGGCAGAAATGGGGCCGGCCCTCCTGGTGACGGCTGGCCACATGCCTCAGGAGGGGCCCCTTCTCTGTGAAGCGCTGCTCGCAGAACTCGCAGCTGAAGGGCCTCTCACCCGTGTGGGTGCGGTTGTGCTTGTCCAGGCTGGCTGTGGGGACAAGGCAGGGGCTCAGCTGCTGGCTTCAGTCTCGGGACAGGGAGGGGACAGGCAAGCCTCACCTTGGGTGCGGAAGGTCTTGCCACAGAGGTGGCACTGGAAGGGCTTCTCGCCTGTGTGCGTGCGCAGGTGCATGTTGAGATTGGCCTTCTGGGTGAAGGCGTGGCTGCAGAACTCGCAGACATGTGGCCTCTCGTTCCTGTTTGGGCAGGGACACGGACAGAGGCCATCAAAAGGGAACTGGCCCCCTTTACTCTGCTACAGCTGGAAGTGTGACAGGCAAGGAAGGCCTGGGCAGTACCAGGCAAGGGGCACCACCTCCATCCCAGAGCAGAAGGGAGCTCTATGGAGTGGGAGGCACAAGAAACTAAGAACATGCCCCCCAGGAGGTATGGAGCCTTGTCTTAGCTGGAAATCCCGTCCCCCAGCTGCTCTGCCTGGCCAACTCTTGCTCAAGCCTAAGGTATCCCCACCCCAGAAAGGCTGCAGGCCTAGATTCAGGGTGGAGGGCACACTCATCTGTGTAACTGTCAGCAAACTCTGCCTTCCCGGCCCCGCTGCTGGCCAGGCCTTGGGGGAGGACGGCTGACCCACACCTGTGCTTGGCTTTGATGTGCATCTGCAGGCCATTGCGGCTTGAGGCCCGGTGCCCACACTCCTCGCACACAAATAGCTTCTCCCCACGGTGCTTGAACGCCTCGTGCAGCTGCAGCTCCGTGCGGGACAGAAAGCACTTGGCACAGGTGGGGCACTGCAGAGTAGACAGGTCGGGCAGAGGGGCCAGGGCCAGGGCCAAGGTGAGGGCAGGGCTGCCTGGGAGCCCTGTAGGCCTCCAGTACCCCGGAACAGCAGAAAGCACACAGCCTCCTGCCCACTCTTGCTCACGCCAGCATCCGAGTGTGCCCGGCCCAGCCCTGCCTGGCACTTACTGCATGGGGCTTGGGGGCTCCGTGTAGCTTGATCATGTGGCTCTGCAAGTCCTTCTTCTGCATGAACTGCTGGGAGCAGGAGGAACACTGAAAAATAGGCCCACGGTCACCTCCAGGGCAGCCTACACAAACGGAGACCTGGCCACCCATCCCCATGCTGTCGGGTGGAAGAGTGAGGGCAGGGCCCAGGTGAGGTACAAGGAGGGTCCCTGATCTGGAATGAAGGATGGCACTAGGGGGCCACCAGTGCCATGGCCACAGGGGTACTGAGCCTGCCCTCCACAGAAAGAAACCAGCGCCCAGGAAGGACCCTGGAGGTGAAGCTGCAGCCAGTGGCCCCACCCACAGACACAGGACAATGGGACAATGGACGGGCAGGGAAGCTCCTTGAAGGCTATCAAGGAGGAGGTGCCTGACGCCGCCCCAGGTAAAGGGCTCAGCAGGAGGGATCCTGGGCCTACCCTCCCCTGGAGATAAGCCGATCCTGACCTTGTAGGGCATCTCCCCCGTGTGGGACACCATGTGCACCCGCAGCTCCATCCTCCGGCGGAACGTCTCCTGGCACACAGAGCACGTGAAGACCTGGCAGTGTGAGGGGCAAGCAGGGCTGGCGTCAGGGCCTCTGCCTGTGGTGGCAGGAATTCCACTCACTGCTGGGAAGAGTCTGCCTGGGGGGACGCTCAGGTGGGACAGGGTTAACACATAACCTGCCTGCCTTGACTGTCACTGAGCGCTGCAAACCCATCACACACCAGGCCCTTCTCAGGCCCAGACAGGCTGGATGCAGGGGCCAAGTGGCCTCATGCACGGTCCCTGGCCCCAGCTGCCAGCGACAGGCCTCTAGGAAGAGAAGGGCAGGGTTTAGCTGGGTCCCACGCATGGGCCAGCAGTGGGTGGGGGCAGCGGCCAGGAGGCCTTTCCCAGCAGCCACCCCTCGCTGAAGTTCCCCTTCTCCAAAGCCCACGGTAGAGCTGGGCCAGGGGCCTGGGAAGGCAAATCCGAAGTGCCTCCCACAGAGTCCCTCCTGCACTTATCCCTTCCACCCTTGGGACCTGTGTCCCCACCTGTACCAAGGTGTGGACTTGATATCCAAGGACCCTGAAGCTCTCTTAAGCATACAGTCCCCCTCTGAGACAGTCTCCTGGGGGCCCTTCCCAGATGGCACCAAGACAGAGGCCAGCATGCCCCTGCCCACAAGTACCTGGGCCAGCTCCCAAGTACCTGTTCCGAGCGGTTCATGCAATTCCGGGCTTCATGCTCCAGGAGGTTCTCCTTCCGAAAGTAACACTTCCCACATTTGGGACACTCAAAGGGTTTCTCCCCAGTGTGTTTCCTGCCAGGAGAAGCCACATGGGGTGTGGGGGCTGAGAGGGTTTCCCGGCTCTCCCTCACCTTGGGCCCCTCTGGCCCCCGAGGCTGACGGTGCTGTGCTGCACAGCAGGAGGGAAGGTGTCCTGAGGCTGGCTCGTGGCTCACCACGTGGGCACAGTCAGACCCTGGCTGGTGAACGTGCAAGGACAAGTCCAGAAACCACCTCCAGCAGAGACTCTTTGCAAGGGAGAATGCCATGGCCACCCTACGCAGCTATGAGGGGATATCCAAAGCCAGCCTCCCAAGAGGCCGCCACGGAGCTGACTGGCAAAGGAGCTGATGGGGAGGCCTGGCCAGCCTTCCAACCGAAGGCAAAAGCAATCCCTGGGGCCTCACTACCTGGAGAAACAACTCCATCTTCCCAGAGCTTCAAAATTGTGACCAGAGCTGACCATCTGACCTCGCTCCACTACCTAGTGTGGCAACAACATCTCCTGAGCTGCCACATGAGCTGCCCACCTGGTCTCCCTGCTCCCTGCCTGCCTCCCTGACTGGTTTCAGCTGTCAGCAACAGCCAGACAGACCCTTTAAACAGAAGTCAGGCGTCAGCACCTCTTGGCTCACAGCCCTCCAATGCTTCCCAGTTCAGAGAAAAGGCCCGGGAGGTGCCTTTTCATTCCCAAGGTGTCCCACCAGGCCAGGCACACACCTTCTTGCTGTCCGTCAACCCACCAGGCTCGTTGCTGCCCCAGAGCCCTCACCCCCAGTCACCCATTTGGTCAACTTCATCACCTCCTTTGAGTTGTTGCTCAAATCTCACCATCTCAGTAAGTCTCCCCCAGACCACTGTTATTTAAAATTGCAACCTGACCCCACCTGAACCCCCCAACCTCCTCTTTCTTTTTCCACAGCACTTCTCACCTTTTCACCTTCCACCACACACAGTTTACTTCTTGTCGGTCATCTGCATGGCCCTGCATAAGCTCCACAAGGGACCATTGTTTTGTTCACTGATACATCCTGAGCTGCCTCATAGTCTGTTGAACAAATGAACTAAACGAACCGACCTCAGAGCCCGCGTGCAGCACTGCGAGCGCTCTTACGACCAGCCAGAGGCCAAGCTCTTCTCTCTTCCTCTAATCGCTGCATCAGCTGTCCTCATTCCCCATCAAAATAACCTCATGAAGTCATCACTCCCCTCCCCTCCCGGTTCTCAGGGCCAGTCCAGCAACCTGAAGCCCAAGGTCAGGATGGAGACAGTGTGAGCACCTGAGTCTTACCCTGGCAGAGTGTCCAGGCAGAACGGCGACTGCCCCAGGGTTCCCCATACACTGAGATTACCCAAAGATTCCACTGGCAGCAGCTGCCACAAAGCAAAGTGCACAGGTATAGCAACCTGATTTCACCCCCAGCTCCAATTCCAGGTGATCACTGGTGGCTTCCTCGAGTGTCACAGTGAGAAAAGATTTGTGGCCTAACCTGGCTTGCCAAGAAAGTGCCCTGTGATGGGATTAGTGATGTCTTGGCTGGAGAGTGATAGGATTGGAAGGCATGTCGCCTACCTGCCATCCCCACAGACCTTGCAGGGACTCTGGAGCAGCACTTCCCAAGAGAACTCTCTGTGATGATGGGAATGTTCTATGCTACACTGTCCAATTTGGTAGCCAGGAGCCATGTGGCTCCTGAGCAGCTGAGATTTGGCTGGTGTGTCAAGGAACTGAATTTTTTATTTAATTTTAATTACTAATACCTAAGGTTAGGCCTCAGCGCCTGCACAGGGTCCACAGGCTTCTCTCCTGCTGGCAGGAGCCAGCCGGAGAGCAAAGTCCACAAACCCATCTCCAGCCAGAGGACTCACAGCAGGAGGGGGAGGAAGAATCCCACGCAAAGCTACGTTCTCACTCCCTGATGACCAGAGCTGTGCCAACGCCAGGCACCAAGTGGGAAGCACAGGACCCCTCCCCCAACGTGGAAATGGCAGATAGGAAAAGAAAATAGAAAAACAGAACGTTTACCTGTTGTGAACTTTAAGATAATATTTGCTGAGGAACTTTTTATGACATGTGGGGCATTCAACCGGCACCGCTGTACCTTTTCTGTTCTCAGCGGGCTCAGCTGCTAGGGAACCTGCGCTCAGGGCTGGCTCGGCAGCACAGGGCTTTCTGATTACGTTTGACTTCCTCCTGGTCAGCACAGCCTCAGGCTCAGAAACGTAATCGCCATCCCCGTCGTCCTCCACTTGAACCACTACTTCCCACTAGGGCAGAAGAGGCAGCAGGAGGGGGTGGGGTCACCAAATTAATCAGCAGGGGTTGTGGGGACTCAGCTCCAGTCCTATCCCAACCCCTAACCCAAACAAGTCCCTTCATCAGGGACTATTCCCTTCAGGGGCCCAGGGCAGATAGCATCTGCACCTTGCATTTGGAGACAAGTGGCTCTGTTTATGGGGAACTGGAAGCCTGGCTGCATTTCATTGTCCTGGGGAAACACCTGTAGTCCTGATGCTGCCTTCTCCACACCCATATGGACAGCTGCAACTAGTAGAAAGGTCAACCTGAGGTCACCAGCTTTCTTGGTTTGGAGAAAGCTTGTTCCAAACCCACATAACAGAGATTCTTCCTTGGGGTCCACATTATCCCAAAAAAGTGTCGATCTTTTCCCCCTACTTTTATCTTCCCAGTTTCAGCACCCTGGGCACAGCACAGTACCTCATTACTCCCGCCCTGCAGCTGTGCCCCTTCAGCATCGAAGGGCCTTGGGGGCACTTTGCAGTCCTCAGGCTCCTTGTCCTCCGGGGAGCAAGGCTTCAGAGCCTGCTTGAGTTTCCCACGGAGGAAGGAGGGGCTCTCACTCTGAGCAGGGGGATGGAGCTGGGGCCTCTGGGGGCTGTGACTGCCTCTGGGCTCCTGATCCCTGGAGACTAGACCCAGAGTCCTGGAAACTTCCTCTTCCTCCAAGCCTTCTGGATCCTTCAGGTGGCTGTTCACATCCTGGGAGGCGGGTTTCCCCACCACACTCTGGCCACCTGGTGCCTGTCCCACTGAGGTTTTGGGCTTGAAGCTCTGGCACAGCTCCACAGCCTCAGGCACTCGCAACTCCCTGGCTGCCAGAAGCACCTGATCCCGGTTCCCCGAGGTAAGGGCGAGGTGACCAGTGTAGAAAAAGTCCAACAAGAGGCCAAATATCTCAGCGAAGCCAGCAGGGAGGACAACACTACCCCCTGAACCATCCCCGTAGAGGCTCTGGAAGAAGTGGCTGCAGCAGGCAAGGACACTCCAGTGTGCCTTGAATACCAGGCCCCCCACGTCCAGGGTAGCGTCGCAGTACTGGCCCTTCTCTCGCTGCTTGTTGAGTTCCTGCAGAACCCTCACACTGTGCTGGACGAAGGAGCCGTCCATGATCAGAAGAGCAGGAAGACAGGAGTGACACCCTGGCCAGCCCGACCGAGGATATGCAACAGAAAGCCCCTGGATTTGAAAAGAAAAGGGAAGCTGGACTCTATTCTGATAGTCACATTTATCAGAACGAGGGCTTAGGTCAAGGTTAGAGGGTGCACGCGGAGAAGAGGAACAGACTGACAGCCGCCGGGGAGGGGGAGCGGGGGCCATATTGGATTGGCCAGAGAGGGGCGGGGGCGCAGGCGGACTAGCTGGGGGACGGGGCATGGCGGGACACAGTGTCGTGAAGAGGGGCTGGTGGGAGGAATCAAAGTTTGGGGAAAGGTGGCAGGGGATGTGCGCGAACTGTGGACCCTGGACCAGGGAGGGCGGCAGACGCAGACAGGTGAGCGAAGCCCACGCCGCGCCCACAGGTCCCGAGCGGCCGGGCGGAAGGCGGCCGCGGCCACGCTCCCATCAGCGGCCACGACGGCCCGCAGCCCCTCCCTCCCTCGCCCCGCGCCCTCCTCACCCGAGCTGGTCCTCCCTGCGCCGGCCCCACCGGCCCCGCGCTCCGTCGCCTCCACAGCCCACAGACGAACTGCCCCGGCCGTGCGTGCCCGCACTACCCTGCGGAGACGCCGTTGTCGCCGCGCCGGACGTGACGTCAGGGCGCGTCGGCCAGGCGGGCGCCTTGGTGGCGTAGGGCTTCTAGCTCCCACCTGAGGGGGCGGGACGCTTCCGAAAAAGGCCAATGGGATGCAGGGAAGGACGGGTCCAGGCCCAGTGCTTTCGGCGCTGGACCCGCCCCGCGGAGTTGCTCAGCAACGCCAAGTTGGGCGCCCGCCTATGCTGGGCTCCCGGCTCACACTTGAAGAGGCGACACCACCCCCTTCCCAGACCGGAAGCGCAGCCTAGACGCAGACATACATTTCGTCTCTTTATTGGCAGCCAGGAGGCTGAGCTGGGCTCTCCTGTGCGCTTACACATCCCAACCCAAGACCGAGGAGCCCAAATGCCTCCCGGACACCCCAGGCCCACGGTCCTGCTCGACCTTCGACCCTCAGGCCAGGGAAGCCTTACAGTCCTGCCCGCCCGCTTGGCCCCACCTGACCCCACTGGTCAGGTGGAATGGCAGCGCCTCGTGTAGTCCTGGATGGAGGCCTGGAAGTGCTCTGTGCTGTTGAGATCTGGGCGGCAGAGGATCACATAGCACTTGGGGAGGAAATAGCCACTGAAGCCGCTGCTCAGGCTGCTCAGCGGGGCCAGCACATTGACCGCGAGCAGGTACTTGCCCTGGAAGACGCGGGCCACGGTAAAGAACGAGATCCAGGACACGAAGTTGAGGAGCAAGCTGAAGGTGACACATTTAGCCTCGTTATAGTTCTCTGGCAGGTCCTTGCCCAGGTAGCTGCAGGCAAAGGCGCTGACCGAGAGGAGGCCATTGTAGGCAAAGGCCAGCACGAAGCCCAGTGAGTGGAACTCTGTGCACTCAAGCATCACCAGCTGGGGGAAGCGCTGGTATTCTCTGGTGGGCAGTGGGGTCCACACCGCAAGCCAGGTTAGACAGATAAGCAGCTGGGTCATTGAGCTAATCAGCACAAACAGGCCAGCACCGTGGTTTTGGACCCAGGCACGGTAGAACATGGGTAACTTGGTGGAAAACTTGAAGATGATGACCAGTTGGAAGGAGCGAACTGTCAGGCAGGACAGGAAGATGGCAAAACCAAGGGCAAAGAGGGCCTGGCGCAGCAAGCATGCGAGCAGCGTGGGCTCCCCAAAGAAGCCATAGAGGCTGCAGCTACCCACTGCCAGGGAGCCCAGCATGAGGAAGCACAGCTGGCCCCCAGCTGACCTCACCACAGGGGTGTCTAGGTGCCAAGCAAACAGGCCAGCAGTCCCAACCAGCAGCAGCAGCAGCAGCGAATTAGCTGCCAGCAACACCCAAGAGATGTGCTCATGCCAAGTCAAACACACCACAGTGCGTGGGAAGCAGATCTGGCTTCCCTCAGGTGCCCACTCTTCTTTCCCACAAGGCTGGCAGCTGTAGAGGTCTGAAAGGGAAGGCAGAGAAAGTTCCTGAGAGTTGGTGAGAGGGAGTTCCTGCAGGCCTTTAAGATGCTGGGGGAGCTGTACCATGGCAACTAGGCTCTGCTGGCCATAGCAGGTGGGGGGGAGGGCGGGTAGCCAGCAGTGAGACCTGAGGCCAAGTGTTTCCTCAAAATGTCTGTGTTAATTACAGACTCTGGAGATACACACGTAAGTTCTATATGGCTCAGGATCCCTGCAGGGGTTGGCAAAGCAAGAGGTCCCTAGCCAGGGCCTTGCCCTGGTAGCTCTGCCCACATACCATACCATTTGCTATGATCCGATGGGAGCCAGCCCTAAGGGAAGGAAATTTTCATCTTTCCCTCCAGCACTTCCACTAACCAAATTCTGCTTCCTGAGCTGCCACTCTGTGGTTTCTTGAGTCCTGACTCACTCAGTGAGGACAGAAGAAATGCATTCCCATCCCTGCAGGGATAATAAAAGGACAGAAGGTGGCCCCAGGAGTCCAGCTCTAGGCTGAGCCCTTAGCTACCTAATTTGCTTTCTGATCTTGACTGTGCACCCTGGATGGGGCATCCTGGTTTTTTGGGTTGTTTTGTTTTGTTTTGTTTTGTTTTTTGCTGCAAACATGCTAGTGTCTGCATCCAGGCCAAGCTGTTCAAGGAGTTAGCTGTCTTTGACCTGGGCAATAGAAAGGACAAATAGGACAAGAGGGTACAAAGGGAAAAGTAGCTACATTCATTGGAGAAAGAGGTTGAATTCAGGATAAGATTGCACCTGTAGAAGTTGTGATAGGAGCTCTCTGATAAAGGACACACCTCGGTCTAAGGCTCTCAGTTGGTTTGTTGTTTTTTTCTTGATCAGAACTCAGTCTGATGGCAGATGTCCTCCATCTTGTACCTAATTGGCAGCCCAGTGACTAGGGCCCAGGTTCTAGGCTGGGTGTGTGCACGCGGGGGACAAGGGAGGTCCTCTCATCCACTGTGTAGTCCCCAGCAGTGCTGGGTAGCCCGCCCACTCACTTGTCCACTCACCACTCTTGTTGAGGAAGGTCCCAGCCTCACAGGGAACACACTCAAAGCAACAGTGCTGGAAATCCACAACCACTTGCTGGTGCCCTTCAAGACAGTCGCTGGAGCACACAGACTTAGGCACCTGTAAGAAGCCACAGGTGTTCTGCAACCACATGGAGGGGTCCACCTCAAAGGGCAGCTCACACGTGTAACAGAAAACAGAATCTCTGTGCATCTGCCCTCAGGGCTCACTCCCAGGGCAGAGCCCCTGGTCATGTAAACCAATGCCCCACTGGGCGTCTGTGTGCTAGCCCATGGAGAAGATGCTCTGCATCTTCTCATCACCCACCCGGGCAGAGAAGGGCACAACGTCCTTCCCTGCCTCCTTGGCAGAGCTGGATAGAGCCACGTCAGCCTGACACCTGGCATCCCCTTCCTGCTCTGTGCATGCTGTGCCAGCATCACCCTCAGGCTCCAGACTGCCCATGAGGCAGTCACCTGATGAGTGGCCACATCCCCATTACCTGGTTGTCCTTTCCATGCCACTGGATTTTGGTCTCATTTATGTCCAGCCAACCTGGAGACCATGTGGAAGAACCGATGACGGTGAAGGTCCAGTTGGGCCCACTCCAGTCCCAGGCAATTATGGTATAGCCACTAAAGGGGCCCCCATTGTCATTAAATGTCACAGTGTCTTCGTGTAGAAGGAAATTCACCTTGGGGATCTGCTCCAGAAGCTGAAACAAACATATCATGAAGCCATGGTAGACAACACAGACCCAGATGGCCCAGGAAGCAAGTGCCTGAGACCTTCTTAGGTTTCTATCCTGGGTGGTTTCAGCCCACCCAAAAGGTCTGGTCCCTTCCTCAGAGCCCCCTCCCCTCCTTGGAAGCCCCTTGACCCTCCCAACCAGCCTCCTGAGAGGAGGGCTCTGACAAAGGACCCCTTACAGACATTTTTTAGCCCTAGATCTTGACCCTTGACACTTCCAAGGCATGGTGGGTGGTTCAGAGAAGGCAAGGGTTAGAGACGAGAAGCATTTGTCTAAGAGACGAGACCCTGGCACTTAGGCCAGAGAGTTCCCACTCTGCTTGTCTCAGGATTGGCTGTTCTCCCTGACACAGGGTTCCCAGGGCTGTGTTTTACCTGCCAGGGGTGGACTTGGCCCCTGGAACAGGCTCCAGAGGTGCAGCCCAGGAGCTGGTGGAGGCCGTGGGCCACAATGTACACTGCCCGATACGTGTTGTAGGCAGAACTCATGGAGATGGCTTCAAGCCTGGGCATCGAGTGTGGCCTGAAAGTTTGGCAGTGTCTGCAGATCTGATTGCTGCTGCACCAGGAGCCATTGATGCAAGGCCTGGGGTCCCTCTTGTCCGCCCAGGCATAGGCCTCTTCATACTCCTTCAGGCCAGGGACAAACCCGTGCTGGATGGCCACACCCAGCACTGTCCCGATGTCCTGGATCCCAGGCACCCCAGTGATGTGTTGGGAGATGGCCCAGGCTTCTGAGGCGATCCACACCTTGCCAGTCAGGTCGGCCAGCACCACGGACTCGAAGAACACCTTGGCTGGCTGGTGGCGGGAGAAAACAACCACGACAGTGGTCCTGGCCTGGGCCAGGTGGCGCATCATGCTCTGCATCTTCTTATCACCCACCCGGGCAGAGAAGGGCACAATGTCCTTGAAAGCAATGCAGATGCGCTCCTTGGTGGCCTGGTACTCGAGCTCCCGCACCCCCAGCTCCCCGTAGTCACCTTCGCTGCCGACCAGCGAGATCCAGACCCACCCGAACCTTTTCAGCAGCAGCACCATGGTCTCCACCTGGCGCTTGTCACTGGGGATGGTGCGCAGAAAAGAGGGATATTGCCGCTTCGTGCTAAGTGTCACACTGCTGGCCGAGTAGCTGATCTGTGGAGGAGGGCCCATTCAGCAAGTTCAGTAGCATCAACCTCAACTGAACCACCCCCCAGTGCGTGGCCCTGTGCTGTGTGGGGATACAGGGAGGGCAGAGACCAGGAGAGCAGCACTCGACATACAGACTGACAAATTACATACAAAGAACCACAAGGCGCCACAAGGGGTTCCTGGGGGAGGAGTGGGAACTCCCACTTGTCCCCAGTGGACAAGGGGAAGGGCACACATTCTAAGCAAAGGGACAAAGCTGCAAGTGTGCAGTGAAATAGTATGGTGTGTTTGGGGACCTTCAGGGACTTCTGCTCAGCAAGAGGCCCTTTGTGAGAAGGGGAGCACAGGTGGGTCAGGGCAGGAGGCTTAGACTCTCAAGCTAAACGGCTTAGTCTTTGTCCTGTAGGCCACGGGGAGCCCCCAAGGGTGTCCGCAGAAAGATGATATGTTCAGACTTGGGTTTTAGGAGTATCTCTGACTCCAGTGAAGAGCTTGTTAGGAAAGGTTCAAGATGAGTCAGGGAGAACTTGTGGGAGGCTGATGGAATTATCTGGCTGGGAGTGACGCTGGTCTGAATTCAAGCTGCAGCAGGGGAGAAGAGGTGGGGGGTGGACTTGACATTGAGAAGGAAGGAGTGGCCCCAATAAGGGACTACAGGTGGGAGAAGGCAGGACTGCTGGGGTTCTGGCCTGGTTTCAGGTGCCCAGCAGGCTGGGGGGATGCAGGAAGAGAAGAATCTTCTGTCGTGTGTAGGGTAAGGTCAACTTGGGGTCTGCCGGGTCCATGAAGTGGTGCATCTCATCGGGGCCTGCCCAGGATTGGGGAGGAGAGGAGGGTGGCTTCTTAGGGGCAGCGGGGCAGGAGGACTCTCCACACTGAAAGTGGAAGATGTGGGGGGCACGGGCACCAAGGAAAGAGTGTCATAGCAGGACTGGTGGAAAAGGTCATCAAGAAGTCATGTAAGATAAAGAAGGTCTGAAAAGCACTCCTTGGATTTGGAGATCTAGATGGTGCAAGAACAAGAGTGGTGAGGGCAGAATTGGGGCGGGCTGGGAGTAGATGGGAAGGGGAGAGGCAAGGCAGGGAGGGTGGGCAGGGCCATTAGAGGCCAGGAGGGGCAGGCCCAAGGGATAGGACAGGAATATGCACAGGGACAAGACAAAGGGACACCCCCACCTCTGAGTGAAGGGAAGAAAGGAAGGAAGGCAGGTGGAGCACCTGGGCGGGAGGTGAAAGGTATTTCATTCTTAACAAAGGAGAAGGAACCTCAGGCTGGAGAGGGGAGGGGAGGGCAGCTGGTGTGCAGCTGCACAGCAGTAGGTCCAAAGGAGAATGGGTTTCCCACTAGGTGGAGGCAGGGAGATCTGGAAGCAGCCCTTGGAGAGGAAGGAAGGCTGGGCAGGGACCATGCTGGGCAGGGACCTCTGCCCAGACTAAAGAACTGTGACTGCCCAAGAAATCCAGGGGCAAGACTAGCTTTGAGGGGACAGCAGCTCTTGTCCACCTGTGCAAGTCCCGTGCTGGAATTGCCAGGAGGGAGACAGGCAAACCTCTGAGGCTCCAGCTTACCAGGGGTACAAGGAAAGGGCTCAGCAGGGCAGCAGTGGTGGCAGCACTGTTGGAGTCCTCGGGCCCAATCACTGCCACAACCTTGGGGACATAGTCGAGAAGGTTTCCCTGGATCTCTATGTGGTTTGTCCCTGGCACGGAGAGCACTCTCAGCGTGGCATACACATTGGCAGACTCCGAGCACACATCGTACAGCTCGTACCCTAGGGTGACATTGGGCAGCAGGGCCGTGGAGTTGTTTATTTCCTCAATGGCAAACCGCATGGCCTGGAAGTGGTGGTAGGCATGGCCGTTGAAGTTGCTGAGCCTGTGAGGAAAGCCGAGGGCTGAGAAGGACGAGGCCCCACTGATAGCCCTGGCCTCCTAGACTCCCAGGCTTTGGGGGTAGAAAGGAACCTCTGAGGTCATCTGTGCAGTCCCCTACAACCATGACCTCACCACGGGCCCTGAAGCACACACACAGTTCCAATAGGTGTTAACAGGCCTTGGGAGGTGGGAACAAGCTAGAGAAACGCCACATGCCCCCCTACCCTCGGATAAGCATCCTAGCATCAAAAGGCTCACAAAGTTCTGAAGCACAGAAGCCTGCTGTGTTAGTCAGGGTTCTACAGAGAAACAGAATCAATGGGTTGTATGTAGAGTCAGAGAGGTTTCTTTTAAGGAATTGGCTCCCACAATTATGGGGGATGGCACGTCCAAAATTTACAGGGCAGGCCAGCAGGCTGGACATCCTGACAAGAGTTGATGCTGTGGGCTTAAGGCCGAGGGTGATCTGGAGGCAGATTTCCCTCCTTTTCCAGGGACCTGAGTCTTTTAAGGTTTTCAGCTGATTGGATGAAGCCCACCCCGTTCTGGAGGGGCATCTGGTTAATCAGTCTATTGATTTAAAGTTTAAGGCCAGGGGCGGTGGCTCACGCCTGTAATCCTAGCTCTCTGGGAGGCCGAGGCGGGAGGATCGTTTGAGCTCAGGAGTTCGAGACCAGCCTGAGCAAGAGTGAGACCCTGTCTCTACTAACAATAGAAAGAAATTGGCTGGACAACCAAAAATATATAGAAAAAATTAGCCGGCATGGTGGCACATGCCTATAGTCCCAGCTACTCGGGAGGCTGAGGCAGGAGGATCGCTTGAGCCTAGGAGTTTGAGGTTGCTGTGAGCTAGGCTGACGCCACGGCACTCTAGCCCGGGCAACAGAGCGAGACTCTGTCTCAAAAATAAATAAATAAATAAAAAATAAAGTTTAATTGCATCAAGAAAAAACCTTCATGGCAACATCTAGACTAGTGTTTGACAAAACAACCCTGGGCACCATAGCCTAGACAAGATGACACATAAGGCTGGATGTGGTGGCTCATGCCTGTAATCCTAATACTTTGGGAGGCCAAAGCAGGAGGATCACTTGAGGCCAGGAGTCTGAGATCAGCCTAGGCAACATAGCGAGACCCTGTCTCAAAAAAAAAAAAAACCAAAGAAAAAGAAAAAGAAAAATTAGCCAGGCATTGTGGCATGCTCCTATAGTCCCAGCCACTCAGGAGGCTGAAGAAGAAGGATCACTTGAGCCCAGGAGTTGGAGGTTGCAGTGAGCTATGATGATGCCACTGTACTCTACCCTGGTGACAGAGTGAGACCTTGTCTCAAAAAAAATTTAAAAAGAAAATTTAACCCTTACATCTGCTCAACCTTGTTTAACTAGTGCCTCTCGGCAGGACACCTATGAATGTGTTGAGGGCCCCTCGTTGCCCCTACTTTAGGAACTTCTGTCTGGAACCCAACAGGGACATGCTGGTGACATGATTCTGCCCTGCTTAAAGAACATGCTAAGCCAGGTACCATGGTATGCATCTATAGTCCCTGCTGCTCAGGAGGCTAAGGCAGGAGGATCATCTGAGCCCAGGAGTTTGAGAGCAGCCTGGGCAATGTCATGAGACCCTTTCTCAAAAAAAAAAAACAAAAAAAAACGTGCTGGTCTGTTCCGTTTTCCAGCCTCTCTACTTGTTCAAAGACTCTTCATCACTTCTGTCACTTCTGTCCCCTAAGTCTCTCAGAGGAGGCTTAGTGCCATCTGTAGGAGACAGTCCTCCAGTTATCTAAAGCCAGTTTTCCTGTCTTCCTCCCCTCCTGTCCCACCCAACTTCTCTTCCCAGCCCAAGTTTTCTTTTCCCAGGCTCCTATCTGCAGCTCTTTGGGCAGGTCATCGTATGCCAGGATTTCCAGAATCTTCCTCTTATGCCAACCGTTGGGTATGCTTCATGCATAGGTCAACCTGCAGCTGAGCCCTGACAGCATTCTTGAGCCTCCAGACCTGTGACTTGCACAGTCTACAATCAACTATCTTCTTTAAAAGAAAGGAGACCAGATGTAGTGGCTCACACCTGTAACCCCAGCACTTTGGAAGGCCAAGGTGGGAGGATAACTTGAGCCCAGGAGTTTGAAACCAGCCTGGGCAACATAGTGAGACCCCCATCTCTAGAAAAAAAAATTAGCTCAGTATGGTAGCATGTGCCTGTAGTCTTAGCTACTTGGGAGGATCACTTGAGTCCAGGAGTTCTAGGCTGCAGTGAGCTATGACTGTACCACTGCACTCCATCCTCGGAGACAGAGCACGGCCCTGTCTCAAAAAAAAAAAAATTAAATTAAAAAAAGAAAAGCAGTAGTTTTACTCTACCTAGATCATTGACTTCATGAAGGCACCAACCTATTTATCTTTGCTAAACTCCTGAAGCATCTACTGGTTTGTGTCATGTGTCTCCCCTTCCCACCTGCCATCTGGGAGACTGAGGACTGGGGGGTAGGGATGGGATGGCAACTCAAAGCCATGTCACATTTGGTAAACTGAGGCCCGGGTAAAAAGTTCTAAAACCCACAGCTCCCTGATAGTAATTGCCTACATGGACTCCCTCAAGGGCCAAGGGAAGTTGTGTCCCAGCCTCCCTCCTCCCCCCAAAATGCCAGGGCTCCCTTTCTGAGCCAGGAGACTGGATGGCAAAGATTAAGCAAGGATGGTCATTCCATCTTCCATCTCCTCCTACTCCTACCCAAGTTTGCCATCCAGTTACAGTACGAAGCCAGGAGATGATTTGAACGGAGTTACAATACAATGCATTCTAATAGCAAGGACAGAATAAGTACTGCAAAGTGGAAACTGGCAGAAGTGTCTGGGAAGGTCTAGCAGGCACTTGAAGGTGGTGACTGGATTGACGGGGGGGGGCAGTTCAGGTGGCAAGGACAGAGGCACAGATGGAAGGTCCTGCTGAGGAGGGCCGGCAGAGGGGCTATGTGGCCACAGGTCCCATTAAAGGATGGTTCTGCTGACCCCACACTCACCTGTCACACAGGGTCACCTCAGGTCTGTGTCGCACCTGCACACATTCAGCATGGAGAGGGAACAGGCCTGCAAGCAGGTAATCCCCAGGGAGGCTGAAGTCGGGAGAGGGCTCAGTGTTGTGGCAGCTGTAAGCCCAGCAGCAGGAAATGCAAAGTTGCAGGCCAACCAGGTGAGCTGTCTGGAGCAACATGCTGGCCACACACACGGCCAGCGTCCAGCATGGCCTAGCCGAGCACTCTAAGGAGGCGGTTGCTTAAATAGAATAGAAGGCAGCTGCCCAGATGCTTCGCAACCTTGTGCCCCTGGAAGGGCTGTTTGCTTCCGGGTCTGTGGTCCCACTCAGGAACTGGGCAGGGCAAAGGCATGGATGCAAACCAGGTGGCATCCAGTGACCTTTCCTCTGGACGGTTGTGGGTTCCATCCTTGCTCTGGCACCTGTGGCTTCACCTGGCTCAGAAAGGGAGCGCTGGCATTTTGGGGGGAGGAGGGAGGCTGGGACACAACTTCCCTTGGCCCTTGAGGGAGTCCATGTAGGCAGTTACTATCAGGGAGCTGTGGGTTTTAGAACTTTTTACCTGGGCCTCAGTTTACCGAATGTGACATGGCTTTGAGTTGCCATCCCATCCCTACCCCCCAGTCCTCAGTTTTCTGGAACTGAAATCTGAGCGAATCATCATAGTTTCACCTTGTTACCCAGGGTTGCTCCCATCAGCCCAAAGACAAATCCATGCAAACCGAAGGTATGCAAATAGACCGGTTTTGCTTAAAATGCCAAACCTGGAGCTTTTTCTGCAGGGGAAAAAAAGATCCCAGGTGGATTTCCGGAGAGGCGGCCCCCGGGCTGGACCCAGGGTGTCTGGCTTTCTCTCATAAGGCAGCCCCCGGCGAGCTTTTGCATAATGTAAATGGGGCCCTCATTGAGAGAGCAGAGCGCACCCCCCGGCCGGCTGGGGCCTCCCAGCGCGCTGCCGGAAGCCGCCGGCAGAGGGCGCCAGCAGCACCAAGACCGCTCTTTCCAGCGGCTCCGCGGACTGCGGGACGGGCTACGGGATCTGGCGAGATTCTCGTGCTACCGCCGCTGGTGGACCAGCATGGCGGACTCGCTGCTGCAGCACAAGCGGGGTCCCAGCCGCTCCACGTGGCTACGGGCCCGCAAGGCCCGGCCCCAGCTGGTCCTCAGCCGCAGGCCCCGCCGCCGGCTCAGGAACCTGCGCTGGTGCGGCCGGCGGCGCCTGCGGCGGCGGCTGTTGCAGGCCCAGGCGGCTGGCGCGGACTGGAGGGAGGTCGCCTGCCAGGTGTCGCGCACGGATGAGACCCGGAGGCCCAAGACCGCGGCCCCTAACCCGGCCCCCAGCGCGACCCCGACCCCGGTCTCGGCCTCCTCCCGGCCTTGCCCTGCGCTTCTCCCCATTCCGCCCGTGCGGGCGGTGGGTCCGGGCCGCGCGTTGCTTCTGTTGCCAGTCCAGCAGGTGAGTCGCGCCAGCGGGAGCCCCTGGTGGAAAGAGCGGGGTGGAGACGCAGACCCCAGGGAGTTACAGTCTAGGAGAGGACCATGGTCCCTCTGGACCTGTTCTCTGGCTGCAAGTCAGATTCCAGTCTGTCCGTCGTTGCGGTGGTAACTAGGTTCCCTCTGAGCAGCAAGGTAGCAGGTCCCCTGCCACTGGGTCCTTAGGCCTTCAGAGCCGAAAGGGTCTTTAATAGTAAAGATAATGATAGATTGCAATTGTTAGGAGCTTAGAAATGGCAGCCTCTAAGGGTTCTAAGTGTTTTAGGTGTATGAAACCATACAATACTCCCAGCTCTCTTACATGTTTACAGAGGAGGAGACAGGTTACATAACTTGCCAGAAGTTACACAGTAGATGCAGAACTAGGAGTCGAAAGCAGGCAGCCTAATTCATTCAGCACCCTTATTCCTCACATAAGCGCTGGTCGGGGAGATTCCCCTCTAATGCTGGAGGGAAGCGAAAACCCAGGAAGGGGAGAGATTTGGCAAGCAGTAGGCCTTTGTAAGGATGGGGTGATTGTCTGAACCATGAGGAGACAGCAGAGCTGAGTTCGTGGGACCCGTTTGTTCTTCATGTGTTAGTATTCACCGGGCTCTCTGTAGCTGCCATGGGGCATGATCTTCTGTTAAAAATATAAAGTACATGATGGTCATGCAGTACAATGTAATCTGTTACTTAAAAATCAGCTGTCTTGGCCGGGCGCAGTGGCTCACGCGTATAATCCTAGCACTCTGGGAGGCCGAGGCGGGTGGATCGCTCAAGGTCAGGAGTTCGAGACCAGCCTGAGCAAGAGCGAGACGCCCGTCTCTACTAAAAATAGAAAAAAATTATCTGGACAACTAAAAATATATATATGGAAAAAATTAGCCGAGCATGGTGGCACGTGCCCGTAGTCCCAGCTTCTTGGGAGGCTGAGGCAGTAGGATCGCTTGAGCCCAGGAGTTTGAGGTTGCTGTGAGCTAGGCTGACGCCACGGCACTCTAGCCTGGGCAACAGAGTGAGACTCTGTCTCAAAAAAAAAAAAAAATTAGCTGTCTTTTGATATGTGAATAGCAAGTTAAGATTTTAGAATTTTTCAGTCATTAGTAACAGGATCTATAATGTTATTTCTTTCTTCGTTTTTTTCTTTTCCTGCTAGGGTTTTACTTTTAGCGGGATCTGCCGTGTGACTTGCCTCTATGGCCAGGTGCAGGTGTTTGGTTTTAACATCAGCCAAGGCCAACCCGCTCAAGATGTCTTCTCTACCTATACCCACTCCTACCTGACTATCAATGCAGTTCGTTACTCAATGCCTGAGAAAAGCAAGAAGGAGATCAAAAGGGAAGCCCGGACTTTGCTCAAATCTCATCTTAACCTGGGTAATGAAAAGAACCAAGTGATTTATTGAGGGCTGAGCGTGACTATAGTAAGGCTAAAAATATTTAAATGCTTGTTATTGTCTAGACATTGCACTAAGCACTTTATTTAAATCCTCAGAAGGGTCTTGAGAATGAAAATACTATTGTTTTCACCATTTTACAGACATAATTGTCCAAGGCCACTAAGTTAGTATGTGGCAAACCCAGCCAGGTATGTTCTTATTATGCAATATGGCCCCCTGAAAAAGGCTCTCAAACATAATTCCTACTCTCAAAAAGCTTACAGTTTGGCCAAGGAGATTACAGTCTTAAAGGGCATAGAATTTAGTGGCGTTACTGCTTCTAAGGTGGTTTATTTTTCTCTTTTCAGATGACAGATGTTGGTCGATGCAGAATTTTTCTCCTCTGTGTTCTATTGTGTTGCTAGAACATCTGAAAACCTCCACTGTGAAGTTCATAACCAGCTATCCAGGTTTATCCTACATTTTTACACAAGAGGTAGAATCAGTTTTCCTTCATTTTGTTTTTTTTCTTTTTTTTCCGCCTCCTCTTCCGAACCAGTTTTCATTCAGAGTTTTGCTAAATACTTGCACCAAAACAGTCATATCAAGTGATTGTGTAGGACGCTGTCTTGGAAGATCAGTCTGTCTATCCTGTTAGTGCTGTAACTCCTACAGAGTGTAATGCATGTGTATAGTAAATAGGGACAAAAGGGATGTCGTGAAAAATGTCTCTCTTCCCCTTCAGTTTCAGTCCCCAGTAAGAGCCATTATTTTATATGGTAGTTGGTTAATTGCCTTTTGGGTTTTTAATGGTTATCTTTATAATCTCAACTTATTAACATGAGACAGTATAAATTTTCTCTACGTGAGTGAATAGTTTAAATTAGTTTAAATATGTTTACACTTTCTTGCATCTTTTTCTTCCTCACCTCTAAATTTTTTCTGGCCATATTACTCACTTTATAAAGTCAGTTCTATTACTGTCATTACCTCCCATGAGCCAGAAGGTTGAGTCTAACCGACAGGATTAGTGGACGGACTGGATATATGAGGTGTGAGGAAGAATCGAGGAATAACACCAGGATTTCTGGCCTCACTACGTAGGTGCATGGAGTTGCTATTACCTGAGATGGGGGCACTGCAGGAGGAGCAGGTTTAACTATGTTAACTTTGAGGTGCCCGTCAGACATCCAGTTGGAGCTGTCAAGTGGGCAGTTTAATATGTGAGTCTGGAGTTCTGAGAAGAGGTCAGAGATGTAAATAAGGGAGCATTTAGTAGAGAGGACACCCAAGGCCACGAGGTGGGATAATAATGCCGAGGGAGCTGATAATAGAAACAAGAGTGTTCGAGGTCTGAGCACTGGGACACTCCAAGGAGAGGTCCAGGGCAAAGAAGAGGGAGCAGCAGAGGAGCCTGAGAAGGCGTGGTCATTGGTGTTAGAGAAGAACCAGGTGTGTGGTGTCCTGGAGGTCAGAAAGGCTTTATTTGTTTGTTTGTTTATTTTATTTATTTATTTTCAGAGACAGGGTCTTGCTCTGTCGCCCAGGCTGGAGTACAGCCATCATAGCTCACCGCAGCCTTGAACTCCTGGGCTTAAGTGTTCCTCCTGCTGCAGCCTCCCAAGTAGCTGGGACTATAGGTGTGCACCACCATGCCTAGCTAATTTTTTAAAAAATTTTTTTGTAGAGACAGGGTCTTGCTATGTTGACCAGGCTGATCTCCTAGGCTCAAGAGATCCCCAGCCTTCACTTCCCAAAGCATTGGGATTACAGGCATGAACCACTATGCCCAGCCAGGAAGTCTTTAAAGGATACTTAAGTGAACAGCTGTGGTAAATCCTGCTCATGGTCAGATGGTCCTGAGAAAGGAGCACTGGCTATAGAAGCGGGTCTGGAGGAGAGTGGTTCAGCAGACTGCTTGGAGGAGGGTAGTCTGGGGAATGAGGACAAGAGCCTGGAGAGAGGGACTCAGGATTTTGGTAGTAAAGGATTTTGCTTTTGTAGAGTTTAGCTGTAAAGGGAGGGAAAGAAATGAAGCAGTAGTTGGAGGGTCGGTGTGATCAGGAGAGTTTTGTGTGAAAAAAAACATTCTTGAACACAGCAGGTGGGAGTGCCCTGGAGAGGAGAGGGGAGAGGACGGCCAGCCGGCTGTGTCAGTGAGTCGACCACTGTTGTGTGCTGTGTAGGCCGGGAGCGCTGGCAGGTCAGAGGAGAGGGCCAGAGGCAGGCGGTTCTGTTTCCTGCTGCACTGAGAGGTGGAGTCGGGGCTCACTGCAGATGGTAGGGGGAGTTGGGGGTTTGAAGTGAGAGGAGAGGTATGAAGTGAGCAGGACGATGAGTGGACTATTGTGATTACATTGTAATCTACTGATCAGGGCCGCCGAGGAGGAAACGAAATTGGGCGTTACCAGCCTTTGCTGCTTGAAAGTGAATGTTCCAAATGCCATGGATCAGACACATCCATTTTCCGTCCTCTTCGGCTTTGTTTTTCTGGGACTTCCTCAACCACTTACTGTTGTTTATATTCCTTACGTTCTTTCTTGGATAACTTCCCTCTCCACCCCAGCCCCTGATGTGTCAGTACATTCTGGAGTTATTTTTTCAAGTAAAGCATGTGGTAAACTTTTGATTTTCTCGTTTTATAAAATGTTCGTATTTTGCCCTCAGCGATTGATAGTTGAGCAGAGTGTAGAACTGTACGTTTAAAAGAATCTTTCCTCAAAACTTTGAAGGCCTCGCTCCTCTCATAGAGTTGTGAGCTACTCTAGAATCCAGTGTTGCTGACAGGAGGTCTCACACCTTGTCATTCCTTTTACGGTGCCTTTATTCTCAGCGTTGCTGAATTGCACGAGGATGTGTGCGTGGCGGGCCCGCCCTTCATCCTCTTCTGCATGGGCAGTTTGTTCCATCCGAGCCTCTCCTGCTTCACCTGGGGCTGCTCTGCCATTCTGTGGGTTGCTTTCCCCATGGTTTCCCAATACTTCTGCACTTGGACTCCACACACCTGTCTTCTACATCCTTTCAGCTCCGTTTGTGTATGTTCTTTGTGTTTTGCTTTATATTTTTGGAGATTGCCTTGACTTTATTTCAGATCACCAACCTGTTCTACAGCTTGGGCCTTCTCTTGAATTTTTCTTAGGGCAATCATGCATTACCATGCATTTTCTTTTTCTCTAAAGCTTCCTGCAGAGATGACAGCAGCTTGGGAGTAAGCACAAGCTCTGAAAACAGAGACAGGACAACTTCAGGAATAGAGTTGACGAGACTTGCTGCTGGGTTGGGTTTTTGCAGGGGTGAGAGAAAGGAAAAGATCAAATTTATCTTTTGTACCTCACAACTCTATGAGACTTAGTTAATTTAGAATTGAAGAAGAAAATATGCATTTTTTTCACCTTTTTTTAAAATGTAAATTGTTAATTTCAGAGTCCAGCTTTCCAGATTAATTCTGAATGTTTGACCTTGAGGTCTGTTGGCATCAAAAGAGAGAAAAAAAAAAAAGGCCTTCTTTTATCCAAGAGTGCCCTTTCAACACTGGAAGAGTTAGTCAATGTTTCTTGTGGTAAGTAATATATATTGATAAATTTGAATGTTTTTCCACCGAAATCTCAGAGGATTACTACTTGTAATTAGAATCCTACAGAAGATGGCTAATTTTGGGGATCAATGTTTGTTTCACCTCCAGAAGAAGTAGATGGCTGCCCTGTCATTCTAGTTTGTGGATCTCAGGATGTTGGAAAGTCAACATTTAATAGATACCTGATCAACCAGTTGTTAAATAGGTAAGAGTACTTTTATTATGGTTTTGACATATTGCTAGATTTTTTGGCATGAAGTGAGATTTTTGATTTAAGAAACTTGGTGGGAATGCATCTGGGCTTTAGGTGGAAATTATACACAGCTCTGTGTGTAACCTGCTCAGCTGTGTATAAAACTGCTGTTCTTCACTGGCCTGCTTTGGAACCTGGTGACAAAGCCCTAGGGCAGAGTCACTGCCTCGCCTGTGGGCAAGCTTACAAGAAGAGACACTTGGTTTCAGAATCTGTATTTGTCCAGATGCTATTCCTGAATCTAGAGATTCAGAGTAGGGATAAGTTATGTTGTGTTTTAAAATAAAAATATCAGGAAAGATCAAGTTGTATCCATGCTGCAAATGGAAGATGACCACACTTGCACCATTTTCTCTTGACTTTTTTTTTAATGCCAGTTGTCATCTTTGGAGCCTTCCACCTAAACTGCACTCACCTGTGTATCGCATGAAATCTTCACCATCTGATTTATGCTTTCTGCAGAGTAAAGCTAGTTAAGATTTTCTTTTTTCTTTCTTAAAAATTTGCAGTGTTTCCTGTGTTGACTATCTGGAATGTGATCTGGGACAGACAGAATTTACTCCTCCCGGTTGCATTTCTTTACTTAATATTACAGAACCAATTCTGGGTATGTATTATATGTTTCTCAAATGTCTAGTTTTTATGAAATTCATAACTAATGATGCTTACAAAAAGCTCAAAAGAATATAAAATATTTAAAGTGAACATGCTCCTACCAAACTCATGTTCTTTAGGTAACTACTCCTCTAGCCTCCGGAAAAAACTATGGTACTCTGTAGGAAATGGATTGCTGTTCTTTTTGTTTTATGTAAATTAGAAACACACCCTTCCCCTCATATTAACATCTTATGTACAACTATCTAAACCAGGAAATTAACCTTGAATCAATCCTATGTAACCAATCTACAGATTTTTTTTTTTTTTTTTGAGACAGGGTCTCTCTCTGTCACCCAGGGCGAGAGTACAGTAGTGTCATCATACGTCACAGCAACCTCCAACTCCTGGGCTCAAGCAATCCTCCTGCCTCAGCCTCCTGAGTAGCTGGGACTACAGGCACATGCCACTACACTCAGCTAATTTTTCTATTTTTTGTAGAGATGGGGTCTCACTATGTTGCTCAGGCTGGTCTGAAAACTCCTGGCCTGAAGCAGTCCTCCCGTGTCAGTCTCCCGGAGTGCTAGAATTACAGGCATGAGCCACCAGGCCCAGCCCAATGTACAGAACAGATTCTACTCAAAATTCACCAGTTGTCCTAGTGTCCTTTTCCCAGTTCAGAGTCTAACCCGGAATTCCGCATTGTTTTTTCTTAATGATAAAATTTACATAACGCGATATTTATCAGTTTAATCGTTCATATGTGTACAATTCAGTGGCATTAAATATATTCACAGTGTTTTGTAACGCTCAACACTATCCAAAACTTTTTTTTTTTTTTTTAGTCAGAGTTTTGCTCTGTTGCTTGGGCAACAGAGTGCCATGGCATCAGCCTAGCTCACAGCAACCTCTAACTCCTGGGCTCAGGCAATCCTTCTGCCTCAGCTTCCTGAGTAGCTGGGACTACAGGCATGAGCTACCATGCCCGGCTAATTTTTTCTATATATTTTTAGTTGTCCAGATAATTTCTTTCTATTTTTAGTAGAAGCGGGATCTCACTCATGCTCAGACTGGTCTTGAACTCCTGACCTTGAGTGATCCTAAGATTACAGGTGTGAGCCACCATGCCCGACCCCAAAACTTTTTTATCATCCCAAGATGAAATGTACCCATTAAACAATAACTTCCCTCTGTCCCCTTCCCCTACCCACTTGTGACCTCTATTTTACTTGCTGTCCCTGTGAACTTGCCTATTCTCATATAATTGGAATTATACAATACTTATCCTTCTTTGTCTGGTTTATTTCACTCAGCATAATGTTTTCAAGGTCCATTCCTGTTGTAGCTTATGTCAAATTTTTTTTGGCTAAATATTATTCCATTGTGTGTATACATTACATTTTGTTTATCCATTCAACTGCTGATGGACACTTAGGTTGTTTCTACATTTTGGCTACTGTGAATAATGGTGCCATCAACATGGGTATACAAATAGCTCCACCAGACCTTGCTTTCAGTTCTTCCAGGTATATACCAAGGAGTGGAATTGCTTGGTCAGATGGTAGTTCTATGTTTAATGTTTTGAGAAACTGCCAAACTGGTTTTCACACTAGTTGCCCTGTTTTATATTCCTGACAGCAAAGCATTAGTGTTCTAGTTTCTCCGTATCCTCACTGATGCTGTTATTTTGATTATAGCTGTCCCAGTAAGTGTGAAGTAACATCTTATTTTGGTTTTGATTTACATTCCTGTAATGACTAATGATGTTGAGCTCGTGCTATTGGCTATTTATGTATCTTCTTTGGAGAAATGTCCTGTTCAAGTCCTTGAACATTGCTGATTTATGAATTGGGTTTGTTGAGTCTAGGAGTTCTTTATATATTCTAGATATTAATCCCTTATCAGATAAATAATCTACACTTACTTTCTCCCATTCTGTAGGTTATCTTTTTGCTTTCTTTTTTTTCTTTTTTTCTTTTTCTTTTTTTTTTTGAGACAGAGTCTCACTCTGTTGCCTGGGCTAGAGTGCCATGGCATCAGCCTAGCTCACAGCAACCTCTAACTCCTGGGCTCAAGCAATCCTCCTGCCTTAGCCTCCTGAGTAGCTGGGACTACAGGCATGCGCCACCATGCCCGGCTAATTGTTTCTATATATTTTTAGTTGTCCAGCTAATTTCTTTGTATTTTTTAGTAGAGACGGGGTCTCACTCTTGCTCAGGCTGGTGTCGAACTCCTGACCTCGAGCGATCCTCCCTCCTTGGCCTCCCAGAGTGCGAGGATTACAGGCGTGAGCCACCGCGCCCGGCCGTTTTTGCTTTCTTGATAGTATCCTTTGATGCACGGAAGTTCTTAATTTTGACGGAGTTCAGTTTATTTTTTCATTTGTTGCCTGTGCTTTTGGTATCACATCCATGAAATCATTGCCAAATCCGGTGTCATGAAGGTTTTTTCTAATATCTTCTTCTAAGAGCTTTATAGTTTTAAGTTTAGGTCTTTGATCCATTTTGAATTAACTTGTAGGTATGGTATAAGGAACGGGTCCAACTTCATTCTTTTGCATGCAGATATCCAGTTTTCTCAGCATCATTTGTGTGAAGACTGTCCTTGTTCCCATTGAATGGTGTTTGTACCCTTCTGGAAAATCATTTGACCATATATGTGAAAGGTTATTTTTGGGCTCTATATTCTGTTCAGTTGGGCTACATGTCTGTTCTTCTGCCAGTACCATACTTTTTTTTTAAATGTTTTTTTGTGGGGGGAGACAGGGTCTTGCTCTGCTGCCTGGATTAGAGTATAGTTGGTGTCATTATAGCACCCTGCAACCTCAAACTTCTGGGCTGAAGCGATCCTCCTGCCTCAGCCTCCTGAGTAGCTGGGACTACAGGCGTGCGTCACTATATGACTATGTTTGGCTAACTTTTTCTTTTTTGTAGAGATGGTGTCTCGCTGTGTTGCTCAGGATGGTCTTGAATTCCTGGCCTCAGGCGATCCTCCTGCCTTGAACTCCCAAAGTGCTGGGATTACAGTAGTGAGCCACCATGCCCAGCCAATGTTGTTGCTCTTAATACACTAACTTATTTGCCCAGTGTCCGTGTATATAACCAGCCTCTCAGTCTGCTGGCTCCCAGACCCACTGTCCCTGAGCCCTACCACCTCCTCAGCCCTGGCTGCCCCTGCCTATGCCCCACAGCCTTGCTGACCCTGGCTAACCCATAGCCCCATCCTTTTTTGAGCACTATCAGGCAAAACAAGATGTTCCAGGATAATCTTCTACTTTCCTTTCCATAACCTTGGAATGAATTATTTCTGCAAAAAGCCCTAGTTCTTTTTAGTGTAGAGTGGTAGTTGAATACCAGGGTCTTGGTATGAGATTCGTTCATTGCCTCTGGTGCGTCATTGTTTATAGGTCCTCTCAGTGGACACAGCTAGAATATATGTGTGTGTTTACACCATACGCACCATATGTATGTGTGCATGTGTGTATGTGCACATATCTTTTCTATCTATTTGTTGTTATAAAAGCCATGACTTTATGACTATTATTCTGATTCCAGCCTAACCCCCCAGGGTTCATTCTGGTTAGCCTCACCCTATTCCATATTTGGAAGTTCCTTCTCTGGTGGCAAGAAGCCTGGCTGTGATAATTGGCAATATGTTTGCATATTTGCTCAGTCCGTCTGTTCAGTTTCCTAACTGCACGGGCCAGGCCAGTCCCTCTGCCGCTGGCTCCCCTGGATCCCTGGCCTTACTGGCCCCAACTGTGAAGAGAGCCTCGCCGGCTGAATCCCCAGCTCTAGTCACAGTGGCCACGCTCCTGATTGAATCTCTATCCCAGGTGGCCTGGCACCAACCACACTGACCAGGGCCCACACTCTGCTGACCCTCTTGCCACACAGTCCTGATCACTGGCCTGCTGATGGCACTGAACCTGGGCCTATGGAACTGCTCTATTCCCTGTCCCCAACCAGAGCAGACAGGAAGTGGCTTGGGCTGGGCAGACCAGTGTGGTGATTGGGAGCACACACTCTGGAGCCAGGCCTCCTGTGCTCAGGCGAGGCTTGACGTTTACTCTCTGACTGTGTTCAAGTTACTCTTTCTCCATTTCCTCATCTGTAAAAATAGGGATAATACTACTTCCCTCATAGAGTTTTTTTTTTTTAATGAAGATTAGAGACTATATGAGATACTACGTGAAGAACCTATAACAGAGTCAGTGCCGTATCCCAGTAAGTGATGCTGTGGCTACGAATCATCCTTTCACTGGGATGCGAGCTCTTTAAGGGTGGGGGTGTTTGTCTTGTTCACAGATATATCCCAGGAATCTGGACAAACCCAACAAGTTGTAGGTGCTCAGTAAGTGTTGAACGAATGGCCATTAGGACATAATTGGGGTTAGCTGTGTGTGTCAGAATGAGCATGTGATTGTGTTAAGTTGACAGCTTAGGTTTCCAAAACTGCAAGTACAGCTATGCCTATTGGTGGGATAGTCTCAGATTGCTAAGGACCTTTGTCGGTGATGATTGCTGAAATAAAACCTCACTACCTTCAGCAGTCAGAAATTGATTACTCTTGTCCTTATCTTCTTAGGACCACCTTTCACCCACCAGAGGACACCGCAGAAGATGGTATATTATGGAAAAACTTCTTGCAAAAACGACTACGAAAATTACGTTGAGATAATAAAATATGTGTTCAACTCTTACAAGAGAGAGTCTCCTCTCATCATCAACACAATGGGCTGGGTGTTAGGTAAGCCTGCACTCGCACCTCTGCAGGGGAAGGACGGACAGTGTGAGCACACTGTTGGCTCCGAGGCATTCGTGTTGAAGCCCAGTTTTTAAGAGTCATCTTCTTATTGGTTGATTCTTTGTCTTAGAATAACTGTACTTGTTTCTTGTAAGAACGTCTCATTGTTCATTAGTGCTAATGTCGTCTCCTTCCTCACAGACGAAGGGCTTTTGCTTCTCATTGACCTGATCCGATTGCTGTCTCCCAGCCACGTCGTTCAGTTCAGTTCCGCCCACAGTAAATACATGCCAACCCTCACCCCGGGCTATGTAGATGACAAGGATGGCTTGTACACAAAAAGCAAGTCCAAGATAAGAAATCAAGGGTTCAAACTTGCAGAATTTGCAGAGAATTTGGAATTTGCTGATGAAGAAAAAGAGAGTCCAGTTGTGTTTACCGGACATAAACTAATGTGCGTTCATTCGGAGTTTGCATTCAGATTAACTGCAAGAAATAGGTAAAGAAACCATCTTTTGGCTTTCCTTCAGTTGAACAAGGCATTCTGTTGTCAATTCCTTCAAAGAACTAAGTCCTCTAAAATTTTTCAAATCTGTAACATCTATACATTTACAAAGGAGAATCAGTTGTGTTTTGAACTGTTATTTTCCCAGTGGAAACATCCAGTAGTGTTCTCCAGCTCTGGTCACCAAGAGCTCTGACTTAAAGGAGAGTATTTACACTTCCTGTTTTACTGGCTGGGGGTCTGCCAAGGCAGGGCCCACAGATGCTAGGGTGGGGAGTGTCTCAAAGCCAAGCCTAGCGCTAGGCATGGATATAATCTACTCCATTTTCTGAGTGGGAGTTAGTCATGGCAGGTCAAATCTCTACTTAACCTCATTGTGATTTACTTTGCAGAGAATTACATAACAAAATTCTTCGAGATCTGGCCGTGCTAGGTTACCTTGGCCAGCTGCAGCCCCCAGTGCCAAAGCCACTCAGTCCTTTACATGGTCTGACACCCTATCAGGTAATCCGAACTTGTGGGAGAAATTTTCTTCATTTTGTTTACTTGACACAGACTTCTGTGGCTTTCTGTGTGCTGGGCACTCTTCTAACCACTTTATAACTCGTTGCTCATTTGATCCTCAGAACAATCCGTGATGAATGTTGTGTAATTATCCCCATTTTACAGAGAAACTAAGGTGCAGAGAGGCTAAGGGATCCCGCACAAGTGGCCAAGCTGGGACTCAGACCCAGGTGATCCCGCTCCAGTGTCCACGCTCTGGAGCGCAGCTCTGTGCTCAGTACAAATGTTCCACCTAATCCCAGTGGCTACTCCAGCACTTCTTTTTGCTGGCTGTATGTGACTCAGTTTCTCATCTTTAGAATGGTATAATTTTCATCCCAAAATGCCTGGCAAAAAAGAAATAAAAAAAGGAAAAAAAAAATGGGGGTAATACCACCCTCATAGAATGATCGTACGGATTCAAGGAGTGTTCACAGCAGCACCTGGCATCCAGAGAGCACTATTACAGTGTTTAGTATTACTGCTGTCAAAAGTAGATTCTAGGCCGGGCGCGGTGGCTCAGGCCTGTAATCCTAGCACTTTGGGAAGCTGAGACAGGAGGAGTGCTTGAGCTCAGGAGTTCAAGACCAGCCTGGGCAAGAGCGAGACCCCGTCTCTATAAAAAATAGAAAAATTAGCCAGGTGTGGTGATGTGTGCCTATAGTCCCAGCTACTTGGGAGGCTGAGGTAGGGGGATTGCTTGAGCCCAGGAGTTTGAGGTTGCAGTGAGCTATAATGATGCCACTGCACTCTACCCTGGACAACAGAGCAAGACCCTGCCTCAAAAAAAAAAAAAGTAGATTCCAACACCAGAGCATTTGCAACTTAGAATCCAGGCTGCTAAAAATTCTTTAGGATTCAGGGTGATGAAAAAATAAAAATAGTGACACGTAGCGTTTCTTAAATGTTTATTCTGTGGGGTACTCTGTTCTAAGCCTGTGTTAATGCCTTTACTCACAGTGGTCTTGTTATTATCCCCAGTTTATAGATGATCTAATATTAATAAAACCAAGGCAGGGACTCAGAGTCAGCTTGCCCACAACGGCACTGTGAAAGCTGGGCTGGAACTGGAGCCCAGGCAGCCCGACTCTGCACGGCCCGTCTGGTTTGGAGCGCTCGCCCTGGCCTGGCACCCTGCCCAGCACTCTACCTGGAAGGGCTTAGCGATCTGTGAGGAGGTGCTGTGGCATTCCTCATTTACAGCTTGGAAAACCGGGCACAGTCAGGGAGGCACTTGCCTCAGGTTGCGCTGGCAGAAGCAGCGGACCTGGACCACAGGGCGGGGTCTCCCAGACTCGATGGCCCCCGGCCGCCGAGTCATCCCTGCTGGAGAGTCTAAGGCGGTTTGTTTAATTGGGATTTTGGTTTACGGCGTCACTTATTTGCTGGGAGGTGCTCTG